AGATACCGTACCTACACACGTCCAATTGCACACTTCTTCGGGTGCGTGCCCTCCCACATGCCTCCGTTGTCTTCTCAAACAGGTCCACAAACGCCTCTGGGTCATCTTGTGGAGCCATTTTAATCAGAGGCATGTGGGAGATGGTGGAGGCTGCGTCCGGGGTTACCTCCTGGCCAAGCAAGCTCCGGATGACCCGCTTCCTCCCCCTGGACCAGCAGAGGGAATCGATCCTCCTGCTCCAGTCTGAGGTCCATAAGGGCTTGGTGTGCTCCCCAAGTGCCGTTTGTTCTGGCAGGATGGCGGCGTGCACGATTCTTCGTCCCGGGTTTTGGCACCACAGCAACAATGTTCACAAATAAAAAGGATGAAGGAGTCAGGTCAGCGAGTTATCAGTGTCTTTATTTATTTCTCTCTCTCAAACAAAACAAAAAGTAGCCAAATGAAAATAGCACTGTCTAAATAGTGGGGTCTACATTTTTTATATCAGTTTTATTTTGATAAACATGACAATAAAACATCTCGACTACAAAACTGCACACCTGAAAAACACGGGTTTGTGAGCATTATTGGAACTGAAGGTGTACGAAGAAACACGAAACACAAGTGATTGTTGTCATGTGGTGAATCCGGCCAATTGTGGAACAGCTGTGTTGAGAGCTCAGAGTATCAAGTCGGACAAAATTTCTAATAAGCATGCACTGCTTCAAGTCAGAAATTTCAATCTGGTTTCCGTTCCCGACACAGGAGACTGCTCTGGTCAAGGTTACCAATGACCTATGCTTGCAGCAGACACTGGCCTGTCCTCCATTTTAATTCTCCTTGACCTCAGCTCAGCCTTTGACACAGTAGACCAGGGGTGCCCAATCCTGCTCCTGCCGATCGACTGTCCTGCACAGTTCATCTCCAACCCTAATCAAACACACCTGAAGCAACCAATTAAGGTCTTCAGGATCACTTGAAAATTAAAGGAAGGTGTGCTTGATTAGGGTTGGAGATGAACTGTGCAGGACAGTCGATCGGCAGGAGCAGGATTGGGCACCCCTGCAGTAGACCATTGGTCCAAAACTGGCCCACCAGCAATAATATGTGCCCCGCGCCCGCAGCCAGATTATTTTGATAGCAGCTGGTTCTGAAATAGATCTGTCATGACAGCAACTGTTACTCACAGACACTTAGTCTTTAGTGATTTTGCCTTCAAAATAAAAGTACGAGAACGTTTTTGCAGCGATGTTTTATTTTAAGATGAATTGAGAGCTCTGTTCTGAAAGACATTCAAAAGAGTCTGTGGATCGCTTCGTTGCAGATAAGACACACCGGTTTGCATTCACAAAACTAGGTAGGATAAACGCATAGTTGTCTTTCCATTTTTCTTTGTATGCCTTATTTTCGCGGTCAACTTTCCTCTTTATATCACCCTGTAGCCCAAGACTGGTTGCCCACTGAAGCTAAGCAGGATTGAGTCTGGTTAGTACCTGGATGGGAGACTCCTGAGAAAACCAGGTTGCTGCTGGAAGAGGTGTTAGTGAGGCCAGCAGGGGGCGCTCACCCTGTGGTCTGTGTGGGTCCTAACGCCCCAGTGTAGTGACAGGGACACTATACTGTCAAAGAGCACCGTCCTTGGGATGAGACGTTAAACCGAGGTCCTGACTCTCTGTGGTCACAAAAAATCCCAGGATGTCTTTCGAAAGAGTAGGGGTGTAACCCCGGCATCCTGGCCAAATTTGCCCCTTGGCCTCTGTCCATCATGGCCTCCTATTTTGATTGGCTTCATCCCTGTCTCCTCTCCACCAGTAAGCTGGTGTGTGGTGGGCGTTCTGGCGCACTATGGCTGCCGTCGCATCATCCAGGTGGATGCTGCACATTGGTGGTGGTTGAGGAGATTCCACCTTCTATGTAAAGTGCTTTGAGTGCCGAGAAAAGTGCTATATAAATGTAATGAATTATTATTATTATTATTTAGACTCTTTGATAGTGCCATTAACATCACTCTACACACGACGTAATAGCGTACCTCCAGCACGCAAACAATAAGAAAAAAGCAGTTTAGTATGTGAGGATGCCAAGAAATAATTCTGAGTGTAAAACCAGTCTATGTCTAATAATTATTACAATAAGTTAGGCTCGATTGTGTAACAAGCAAATTAAAATGATACACATTTATTATTCACAATATGGAAAGAGGAAATAAAACAGGTCGTTAAGAGCATGACTAAAAAAATAAAATAAGCCCATTAATGGCATGTTTGAGTTATTTTTATCCCTTCCGCATCTCCCACATGAGTGTTTTAGCAAGGCGGATCTGTATTGCAAGTTGGTGAATGAAGATACTTGCCAGGTTACGTGTCACTACAGCTTTATATTCATATATCCAGTGTAAAACCCGGACACCGCCACACAAATGTGGCTTTTTGTTAATGACTGTCCTACTACAGGATTTAACACAGAGTAACAGCTCACTGCCAGTTACAAAAGACACTGTAACAGTCTGGCACAGGCAATTCTAGCTGCATTTTTCATCAATTAATTTCTTAAATTATCCTTTGACTATGTTCTGGTTCTATGTTTGGCATTCTTTTTGTCCCGATGCCAAACTTACTTGCCGACCCCTGCAGTAGACCATAATATCTTAATTAACCGTCTAAAGACCTGTTGATATCAGTGATGTGGCTTTGGATTGGTTTACTCCCTATTTATCGAACAGGTCCTTCTCTGTAGTGGCTCCTCGTCTCATGCTCCTCTAACCATTTACATGCTACCCTTGGGTCAAATTATGCAGTCATCATGACATTGATTTCCACTGCTACGCAGATGACATGCAGTTGTATGTCCCGATAAAGCCTGGTACCACGGATGCATCCTGCATCATGTCCTGCTTCACCGAGATTAAAAATTGGATGTTGAAAAAATTTTCTGCTATTGAATTACTTCAAATCAGAGGTACTTATAATTACCCCAAGTGTCCCCAGTATTAGCAGCATTAATAATCTCTCCTCTAGTCTGGTGCCCTGTCTAATAATGTTCGAAAAGAGGCAACCTAGTGTCATCTTTGATTCGGATGTCCTTCGATGCTCAGGTGACTAAAGTGGTGAATAACTGACACAGCTAACAAAGATCAAGCCATTCCTTTCTTTTGCAGATTTAGAAAAGGTCATTCATGCTTTTATCTCCTCCCGACTTGACTATTGTAATGCACTTCATCTGGTATTAGCAGGACTGCAGCTGATTTAAAATGCGGCTGCCAGGCTTTTAACACTCACTAAGAGAAGCGACCACCCTTGCTGCCCTTTTCTGGTTACCTGTGAGTTTTAGAATTGATTTAGAGATTGTCCTGCTTGTTTTTAAAGCCTTGCAATGTCCAGGCTCCTGCCTATGATCTGCTGATTCCCCATGAGCCCGAGCGCTGCTGGAGATCCTCTGGTAGGGTACTACTAATGGTCCCAAAATCTCCACTTGTCCCTAAAGGTGAGTGGGCTTTTGCAGTCCGGGCCCCTCGGCTGTGGAAGTCCCTGGGCATCTCAGGCATTCAGGCACGCTATCCTGCTTTAAATCTCTTCTCAAGACTCACATTCACCCTATAGCTTTATCTTAATCTGATGGTATTTCTTTTCATCAAATCAGCATATACAGTATATTAGAATGATTTCTGAAGGATCATGTGACACTGAAGACTGGAGTAATGATGCTGAAAATTCAGCTGTGACATCACAGAAATAAATTACATTTTAAATAATATTAAAACAGTATTTTACTGTATTTTCAATCAAATAAATGCAGCCTTGGTGAGCAGAAGAGACTTCTTTCAGGAACATTAAAAAAATCTTATTTTCCAAAATTTTAACTGGTATAAATGATATATTAACACACACACATCCCAAAGCGCTCTAACGTGGCGAGCTCGTAATGGTGGGAAGTAGGACATTTCTGAAAGCATTTGAAGACCGGATAATTATGTCCCTCACAGCCTCGTTTCATTCCTGTCAAACATTAAATATGCTGATTGATACCCTGATCTTACAAATATGGACAAAACATATAAATGGGAAAATACTTTTAAAAATAAACAGAAAATGCAAAACTGGTGTCAAAATCAAACCACACACTTGCAAATAAATATCCCAACAACACTTCTGTTCTTGATTTAAAATCAGTTTATTGAAAAACACATTAGTAAAGAGCATACGACTCCGGGATGAACGGTCTTCAACAGGTACGGGTGGCAGGAACACGCTCATGTAAGCGGAGGTTAACATCACGTGATGTGAACAGGTGACCGACACACAGAGCACACCACCACTAATGGCTGAACAATATTTGAGCTATTAAAATAGAGTATACACACAATAAAGCTGGCCCCAGTTATCATGTGTCATGGCTTCTCCTATGACTGGACTCAACGAGTCGGTCAGGACTTGTGATAGTAAAGACACTGCCTAGATTCAGCAGATTTAGGTCCGCCCCATTCCCCGCAATAAGTCTAGCCATTGTATACAGTGTTTTATTATAATGGTGTGCATGTTTATGAGAGACCCTGGCTTTGAGTAAAGCCTCAGTAAACGGCTGCATGATCTAATATACAGTCAGATTTCAACATGACCAAGAAACATGTTATGATGGGAATGTGAAGCCCAAGAAATCCATGCGTAATCAAACATTAATGAAAAGCAGGGTTTATTTTTCAAGAGTAAAATTAGAACAAAAAACAGTGACTACAAAAGGGATTATACAATTATTTTACCAAACGACTAAAATAACAGCTTAAACTGCAGGTCTTGGTCGACTCACATGTACTTGAACTCAACCGTGATGTTTTGCACTATAAAGCTTTAAAGCAAATTATGCCAAGTTAAAAGTGTAAAAAAGTCAGACTAATCTAGTTTAATGGATTAATCAAAATTACATGATTGCCAAAAGGTACTAAACAGAAACACAGATGATTTGACCCATTCACGTATGAAGGCAAAAAGAAACTCATAATGAAACATTTAAATCCATCAAGAGACAAAAGTGTAAATATTAAGAACTAAACAAGCCAAGCTGATCTCTAGAAAGTACAGAGAAACACACGTTTTGAAGAATGTGATTGTGTCACTCATTGGGATTGGGATTGGCGTCAGGATACTGGGAGAGGTCAAAGGTCAGGACTTTACTGATGACGCAGTCTCCTTGCTGTGGACACAGACAGGCAAAGTCATGCATAGGAAATCTACTCACTTATTTGTACAGTGCTTTTTTTTATACTACAATTCACAATGTTTCAAAACAGCATACGATGAAACGTGGGCATTCAATGAAATTTTCACTTTAAAAAAAGAAAGAAGCTTTTTTGCATTTAGTTCGGTCTCTGGCGTGTCTGAGCTCAGAGAAGCTGAAAGAAAACAGCCAGTTTCTATAGAATAAACACTCACTGCCACTTCACTAGGTACACCTGTTCACTGCTGTTAACGCAGATATCTAATCAGCCAATCACGTGGCGGTAACTCAACGCTTCAGGATGCAGAGATGATGAAGACACTGAAGCTCAAACTGAGCGTCCGAATGAGGAAGAAGAAGATTTAGTGACTTTGAACGAGGCGTTTGGTGTATTTCAGAAACTGCTGATCTACTGGGATTCACACACACACACACACATCTCTAGGTTTACAGAGAATGGTCTGTGGAAGAGTGAGTATCCAGTGATCGTCAGTTCTGTGGGAGAAACGCCCTGTTGAGGTCAGAGGTCAGGAGAACGGCAGACTGGTTCCAGTGTAGAGAGACACAACAGGAACTTAAGTCTGCAGAAGATCATCTCTGAACACCTTGAAGCAGAAGACGACACACACCTGTGCATGTCCTGTCAGCGGAGCACAGCAAACTGAGGCTAGTTCACACAGCTCCACAGGACCACACGTCGCCTGATGAGTCTGGGTTTCTGCGGCCACATTCAGATGGCTGTGAACCGCATGAGAGCATGGATGATGCTGCCCTGTGTCAGCACTCAGCTGCTGCTGGTGTAGTGTGTGTGTGTGTGTGTGTGTGTGTGTGTGCCATATCATCTTGGGCCTCAGTCCAATTGAGCATCATTTAAACACCACAGCCGAGCTGAGTATCATCCACAGCTTTATGCCCACAGAGGACACATCTACTGATGCTTTCATCAGGAGAACGCGCCAAACTGGTGTCTGGATCATGACTGAGTTCACTCAACTCAAAGGCTAAAAATCATGCCAGTATGGACCAGAACCTCAGAGGCATGTTTCCTGCAGCTTGCTGAATCTGTGCCATGAAGACTTAAGGCAGTCATAAACACGGGTCTGACCCGGTGCTAGCGAGGTCTACCTAATGAAATGGCCGGCGAGAGTATATCGCTGTATGCGAGCTTATCTAAGCAGTGGAAGTAGAACATATGTACAATAGTTGTCAATTCAATTTAAGAATACATTTTTGTCCATGATATTGAATATGAAATCTGTCTGGTTCTGGGTAAATGTACAACATGTTGTGTAGTGAGTGACACACATATCTCCCCCAGAATTATATAATAATAATAATAAATACTGTGGTCATATTGGCCATCCCTAAGCAGTTTCATCGAGCAGCTGATTTAAAGTCATAATACAACACAGTACTGAAATAAAGCATGCGTGTGTGTGTGTGTGAACCCTGACCTCTGGATAGACTCCGATCAGGGAGTCTGCCTTGGTGTAAAACTCCTCTTTCAGGGAGATCACGATAGCCTGGAAGTTCTGCACCGACTGATCCTTGATGTAGTTTGCAACCTGCACAACACAGGCAAACAGCAGCTCAGTGCATGTCGATCTCACAGAGAGTGAAGATCACGAGCATTCATGTTTCTCTTCATGGTGATGCTGTCACAATCAGGACATTTGGGCTGTCAATTCACAAAAAAATCTTTAATCTCAATTTTATTTCTAATGATATTTAACATGGAAGATTTACATAAACCTTAAAGGGAAAGTTCACCCAAAAATGAAAATGATGTCATCATTTACTCTCATGTGGTTACAAATCTTTATGACTTAAGCCCTATCCGGACGGGACGAGTGTAACATGGAGGGGGGGTAGAGTAATTATTACCAGAGCTTCTCTGTGATGTGCATCTCAGTCATCATTACAGACAATATCAGTGAAGATTAGGGCTGCAACAACTAATCGATAAAAGCGATAATAATCGATTATGAAAATCGTTGTCAACGAATGTCATTATCGATTAGCAGAGGTGGAAAGAGTAATAAAATATTCTACTCAAGTAAAAGTACTACTACTTCAATGAAATTTTACTTAAGTACAAGTAAAAGTACCGGTCTAAAAATGTACTCAAGTAAAAGTAAAAAGTAGCTAATTTAAAATTTACTCAGAGTAAAAGTTACTGAGTTACTTTTTTAACAGCGGGTGGGGGAATCCCCCGTGTAGGGTTGTATTAATGGTATGAGATTTTCACAGTATGATAACGTCTCAGAAAATATCACGGTTTATATATCACCTCTATCGGTGATGTTTCAGATTGCAACCAATTTTTACAAGAGCGCTCGTGCTCGAACACAAGAGCGATCACTCATGGTACCGGCCACACTGAGACTTTCAACACACCGGAGAAAGCATCACACAACATGCTGGAAACTCATGTAAACTCCCACTGCAACGTTACAATAATAGGCTACTTTTATCAGCTTGACGCTGAACTAATGCTCCATGCTCATACCATGATAACGTTACATCTGTGGTGTTATCTAGCATAGGGCATTTCACTAACCATTCGTGTATCTTTCACAATCAGCAATGTCAAGATAGGTGAATGTATAATATGATAACGAAAACGGTTAGTAAACTAGACTGAACAATGTCAGTGTAACAGTAAGATCGTAGGAAGTAACATTACTGCACTGAACGTGTCGGAAATGTGTATTATAAACAATATGATAGTAGTGGGATGAGTGACGTTAGACAGTAGATCTAGTACATAAAATAAAAGTTACATCCTAAAGCACCTACTTTTTGTTATCCTGGAACAGTCTTTTGTATTCATTTCATGTCTCATGTATGTTGTAGTTGACCTTGCTATTTCATTATAGTTTAACATTATTTCAGCATATCTGAAAACTTGTAATTTATCACAATAAAAATAGCGGAGGTCTCTCCATAATTCAAACGCTCTGCCGATGTTGATCCGTGTTTTCGTCCTATGTCGATTCGATTCACGTTTGGCCTGACGAGCTTCAGCAGATACATTTTTGTTTTGTTTTGTTTTTTATATTTTTGCGGAATTTGTGTTGGAGTTTGTGTTGTGCTGGAGGCAGGTCGTGTTTAGTGTTATCAGACTCCATGTCGTCAGCTGCAGTGCCGTCGCATAGACTGTATATAAGGAGAGAGGCTCGGGAGCGCGCATGCACGTCACATCCGATGGATTTCGCAGAAAATCCGACCCGGAGACTTCACATAGAAATAGGAATACTGGCCTTCAGAGGTAATAGCAAAACCTGACAAGTGGATCATTGTAATGTGTGATTACAACCCCTTCACACACAGGCAATAAAAAAAGGATTCATTTTAGAAGAAAAGTTACATATAGCACCTTTAAATAAATAAACAGTATTATTAAATTATGGTTATTATTATTATTATTATCATTAGTTAAAATGACAGTTAAATTAATGAAATCAGGGTTTTTTTTTGGTTGAACAAATGCTTTTACTATAACAAACTTGAAACCATTTGTTTGTTTTGTTTATTAAAATTTCATTAAAACATGTCTAATCAATTAAATTCAATAATTGATAATGAATTAGATTAACAACTTATTTTTAACATTAATAATTTATTAAAATGTTTAAGAATAATATAGTCCTATGAAATGTATTTTATTCAGAAAATGAATGTTTCTTTTTATGATTTAATCCAAATATATTATCAAAAACGGTGGTAATCAAATGTAAATTTAAACTTTGTGTCCTTTTATTTTTTGGGGAAGCGCTGCAAAAACAGATTTACTAAATTAAACTATGGACAAAAAAATATATATTCCTTTAAATAATGTTTAAATAAAATGTATTATTGTTGTTATTATTATTTTGAGAAGTTCGTTCTATTGTATGCCCAGAATTTCTCCTTAGTAAAACCGAACTTTTATTTTGACAGGTTGTAGTGAAGAAGACCCGTTTCAAAGTGTATTTGACAATGGTTTTTCTCAAATAAAATTATGACAATGCTCATTAGGCGTTCTCTCAGAGCAGCTCTGGAAATGTTCATGTATTCATGTCCTCAAATTAGGGATGCACGATATAGGATTTTGACCGATATTCGATATGCCGATATTTTCAGACTAATTTTGCCCGATGCCGATACCGATATATTTGTGTGTCTTTTTTAAGTGCAAAAAAAGCTTATTAAAGCTTCTATTAAAGTTCTCAGTCAAGAGCAGTGAGTGATTTCCTCTTTGTGTTTTGTTGTTTTATTAACATTAACGAGATAGTTCTCCCCAAAATTTTAATTGTCATCATTTACTCTCTCAAGTTTCTTTCTTCTGTTGAAATTATAAAAGTTATTTGGAAGAATGTGGCTAACCAATCAGTTGCTGTACTTCAGTGACTTCCATAGTATATTTAAGCTCAAGAAAGAAATGAATACAGGTTTGGAACAACATTAGAGTGAGTAAATAATGACAGAATTTTTATTTCTGGGTGCAGTATCTCTTTAAGGACAAGCGGCAGCATATTATACTGTCTCTTTAAGAACTGCACGCGACGCGTCTAATATACACGCATTTGACAAGCAGATTTTCTCTGTTTGCTTTCACTTTAGACATAACCAACTTTGTTTATGTAAACCGTGTGTGTATTTGACAGTATCAGCGCAATAAGACTCGAAAGATTAGTCCAGTATGCAGGCGCTGTGACGGCTTTAGTTCCTGTGAGCGTCGGGTGTAACGCGCTCAGAAAAGCGGATGTTAGAACAGCGCATCAGCACGTGAATGACATGTTTACCTAGCAAGACTTTGACGCACATGCAAACAATGAACTTTTGTGAATTGCGGTGTCCCGTGAATGTAACTCTACCTCTGCGTTTACATGTGATGTGATGTGAATGTACGTCGCGTTGTGTATGTTGAGATGAAGGCGCCAGAATTGAACTGATAGGATGCACGATACTATGATTTTTCTTCAAAAGCAGATCGTGGAGACATTTTAATCGTCCACGATCAACAACCGTGAGACGCACGGCACACCCCTAGTTGGAAGTTTAAATTGCTGGCGCTCATGCTTCGTTCACGGTCGTCACGTGCGCATAGGAAACACGCCACCCTATCGGCAAGGCTCATCGGCAGAAATATTCATATCGGCCGATGCCGATGATGGTCATTTTAAGCTTTTATCGGCCGATACCGATGTAGTCCCGATATCATCGTGCATCCCTACCTCAAATTGTTTGTGAGACGCTGAAAACACCATGAACGTTCTTGAGTATGTAACGTTAGTAGCCTAGACAAAGCGGCGCAGCTCAGCAGAACAAATATGTTATATATTTAGGCCTACATAGAAGTATTTTTGTGCTTAAATATTCACAGACCATGTCGCGATTGGATTTATTGCACAGTTCTACTTTCCATGTATTCATCCATCCATTATTTTGCGTGTTTTACGTGACATCTGCGTTATGTGAATTCCATTTTCATGACTGGATTCCGGGATTCCCTCTTCATCACGTAAGTCATTCGGCCTTAAGTTAAATTCATCGGGACATACCTTTATCTGCAGGAGGGATGGTGTGTCCTATGTATCCTCTTTTTGCAGCCACTTTGCGTCCACATTTTTTGCAAATTGGATATCTATACTCGAGGACAACCACTCGTTTTTTCTACAAAGTATTTCCATACTGGCCATAATAGGCTATATGCACGCATAAGTTCCGCATTTGACGCAAGGATGCTCGTCAGTTTCCGGTTGGGGAGATTAAAGCGGAGGAAAACCGAGGAAAACGGGATTATGGCAGAGTCTTCAAAATTTACTGTCCTCCCGTCTTTGAAACGAAACTTTCATACGTTTAGATGTAATTTTATATATAGTTATGTTTATTTAATATAATTTTAAAAAGAAGCATAAACACAACGAGGTGTGTCTGTTTTGTCAGTTTTTGTGACTAACGCTTCTTTAGTATAACCATGGAGTATACAATTCAATATAAATTCTCGGTATTGCATTGGACTCTATGATCGGCGGAAGTTATCGAGCATCCTTGACCTTCACCGGAAATACCGCCGTGCGTAGAGCCCATTCGCTTCATAAGAATTCGAGGGCGCTTTCAGCTTCAGCTGGGTCTGCGTCACCTTTCTTGCGCGTTTGTTCTCCCGCCCTTCAACCAACCAATGCAGTAGTTTCCGGAGTGTGATTTTTTTTTTCTCCCTTGTATTATTATTTTTTACTCAGTAACGGATATGATTTCAAATGTAGCGAAGAACAAAACTTCAAACAAAACGTACTTAAGTAAAAGTAAAAGTACAGATTTTAAAAACTACTTAAAAAAGTAGAAGTACACAAAAAAACTACTCAATTACGTAACGCGAGTAAATGTAATTCGTTACTTTCCACCTCTGTCGATTAGTTGGTCTGCTTACGTCACAGGGAGCGTTTACTGGTGATTGGTTAAAACAGGCCACTCATGATGCTCTGTCTTACATGCGCTTCATGAGGCACACACACGCAAGGTCTCTCTCCCTCGCCGCTCTGCCGTACTACACGGTTCTGCCTACACGGTTCTGTCTCCCATGATTGATTCCGGGAGTTTGAACCATAGACTGTAAAAAATGTAACTAATTTGCGGGCATCAGGGAGCAGCTCTCAATATGCGGGATTGTTGCGCAATCAGTTCGCTCGCAACATAAGTGATGGATTAAAATAGCGCTACCGCAGAAATAGGTTCAATTAAAACGGTGTTTACAAAGTGAAGCACTAAATTAAAGGCAGTTAATAACAGCAGCAGTAAAAGAGTGTTTTTTTAGTCACTGTACTCAGTTGTTTTCAGCGAATGCTTGTGCACTAATGCATCATCTTTCCTGTCCTTTTAATCAAGCCTGTTAGCTTCTGCGTACCTCCACTCCGTTCTCTTTTTATAGCATTTGTCTACTATTAAGTTTTCATTGCTTTTCAAACGCGATCTACTGCGGCTCTACTACGTTCACACGCTTGTTTTCAGTCTTTCTATATTTATTTGATCAATTTATCCTTATAATTCAATTAATTTTAAATAAAAATTAAATGAATGATATATTTTAGATGTTTTTAGTTTATATCTTCACATCTGAACAACATGTCTGTGTAAATTTGTTTAAACAAAAATTGTGTATTTAAATTTTTAATAATAACAAGTTATTATTTTATTTTTTTACATTAATCATGGTTGTCAACTTGCCATCAGCAATTGTCATTAAAAACAATGCAGATATCGATATTAGTAAAACTCAATGTGTGGCTTTTGCACTTTTTAAAGTACACTTTTACACATAAATACCCTGATTTAGGGTTTTATTTAGTTATAATAAACAAAATCTAATTGATTTTTTTAGCCGATTAATCGTAAAAATAATCGTCCGATTAATCAATTTTCAAAATAATCGTTAGTTGCAGCCCTAGTGAAGATTACAGCAGCTTTTACATCAGTAAAATGTCTGGGAAAATTACCTCAGGTAATACTAACCCCGCTGTAAATATGTACGTGAATATTTCGTCCTTTCCAGTTTAAAAGTAGTTTTCCACATTTTTCCAAGTATGGAGACGCTTGAAAAAGCATTCAGTCGCGTTCTAGGCGCTGAGACGAGTCTGTGGCAGAACTCAAGTGTTTTACACACACAGCTCAGATCAGAAAGAAGATCGAGAGCATTCGTTAGAGGCACGAAACATCTATTAGCGTTAAGTGCCTATTACCAACACAATCCAATCTGAAGTTAATGAATACATCGTTCGACCGGACATAACTGTTTTATATATATAAATATAGGTTATATGTGTTTGCGCAGGTGATATCAGGAAGCAGCGTAACACACACATGACGACATGAGTGATGGCGGTGTGTAAATCGAGTTACTCTCCCACTTCTGCTGGTTTACTGAGATCTCTTATCCCGTGAATTGGTCATTATTATTACAGACGTCCTGTGGTAAAATAACATTACTCCATCTACCCTTGTAAAGCTAATCCTGTCCGAATAGGGCTTTACTTTCTTCTGTGGAACATAAAAGATGATATCTTACAGAATATTTATAACCAAACAGTTTTGGTTACCAAAAAAATCCTGAGTGGGGAAAAAAAACTTTTCCTTAAAATACCTTCTTTCTGTTTTCCACATAAAAAAAACCATATAGGTTTGGAGTGACATTAGTGTGAGTAACAATCTCTTCAAGAAAAAGCCCTTTATCCACATAAACCTTGAATCATCCAGTAAAGCAGTGGTTGCCGAACTCTCTCTGCCGGCCCCCAGTGTGAGGGTTTCCTGGACTGAAAAGGTTACGGCAGCCGGCGAAACTAATCTCTGTCCCGTCAAAGATTAATCTGATCATTTATGTGACAACACCTGCCTGTGTTACACCTGATACACACTCCCGTGAGTGTTTGTGTGTTGAGATTTGAGCATATCACAGACACATCTGTGGAGCGCGTGAACTCAGCGGCCAATCAGATGCGTTTAAGCTAGTCAGAATCCACTCAACACCTTGAGTCTCTGTTCAGTTCTGCACACTCACGAATCCTTTCATCATAACTAACAAAGCATAAGCAGAATGTCAATAAGAGATTAATTTTACAGCTTCATTGACTATAATGGGAGTTTTCGTGAGAGTGCAGCTTTGTGCGTGTCGCGTTGTAGTTGACAGCTTCTGTGATTATAATGGCAGCCATCTTTGCTCTCTTTCTGTATATAATGTAGATTTTTCATGCGGCTAACGACACATTGCAAAGTTTCTGGATTGACAGCTATATTTAAATGCGTGATTGAATCCGACTGACAGTGATACAGTGGTGAAGTACACTAATCAAATACTTGAATAACAGCACAGATACTTATTGCTTGTTAATTATTGCTCCAGTAAAAGTACTTGATTTTTAATGTACTTAAGTATTAAAAGTAAAAAGTACTGATCAATGAATGTTTATTTTGTAATTTTATTCACTTGTATACTTTTACAATATTTAATAATTGCATCCAGCGTTGTTGGGCATGGCTACACACACACACACACACACACACACGTTACAGCACAGTAGGGCTGGTGCAAACAGACACAACTCTACTACTACAGAGAAACTTCATGTCGGCGCATTATTTGAGCGGACTTTTGACCCAGGAAAAACCCTGGTGTGTTGTGTGCCTCAAAATATTAGCTTGTGACTGTTTAAAGCTGAACAAGTTAAGTTGCTACTTAGGCTTCTCTTTGTGTTTATGATGTGAAGTCTCTGTTAAGTTGAGAAGTTGTAATACTGTATTAATTACAATGTTTCAAATAAATCCTATAGGATTTGCAAGCAAGGTCCTGTCTAAAAAGTATCTTTATGTGGGTGGGTGTAGGTGGGGCGCTTGAAAATATCTCTCTACAAAAGGGGCCCGGCAGAAAGCGTTCGGAAACCGCTGAACGAAAGTATGTGGTTCCATGCATCACCTGGTGGATCTCAAGAGTAGCACAACAACATTTCTATTCTAAGAGCAGTGCCTAATGGGAAGCCACTTGATGGATTGCATGAAAAATATAAGATGTTAAATGTTCATCATGTTGCAGTTTAAATTGCAGAAGCAATCTGACAAAACTGCGTGGCTCTCGCCTGTATCCTAATGACTGTGTGTGACTTCTTATAAGTAGGTTGTGTAAAACTGGTGAGAAACAAACCTTGCCAATGTTTGTGTTGTCCAGTGCGGCATCGATCTCGTCCAGCACGAAGAAGGGAGCAGGCTTATAGCTGTAGGGGTGGAGAAGGGCGTCAGGCACACACGGATGAAGGCTGGGATTTGACATGAAGGGAAATACACGTCCACGTACCTGTGAATGGCGAACAGCAGCGCTAGAGCAGCCACAGTCTTCTCTCCGCCAGACAGGTTGTCCATGGGCCGGAAACGCTTGCCTGGGGCCACACAGTTATAGTTGATACCATCCAGGTATGGCTCCTCGGGGTTCTCAGGCCCCAGAAAAGCCTAGCAACACACACACACAGACCAGTGGAAAGATTTGTCTTAGTCAGTGCAGCTCTGGGGTCTCATTTATAAAGCGTGCGTACGCACAAAACGGAGCTGGAAACGTACGTACGCCAGTTTCCACGCAAAGGTTGTGATCTATAAAAAACAAACTTGACGGGAGAATGTGCGCACCTTTAAGCAAACTTTGAGCCGTGCGTACGCACATTCTGGAGACAAAGGGAAATGGCGACACAGATGGTGAGCTCGAGTTAAATGTCTTTTTGGTCACTTTTAGACAGAAAATCTAAAGAAAATGATACATATACAGAAAGATAATACAAATATAATTTCACTCACCAAGCCTATCACTTGAAGCAAATATTCATCCCTTCTTAAATGTCCGCGCCAGCGAGCGCGTTGGGCCGTTTAGTGAAACTGACGCATATTTAGCCTATCTAACGGCAGATGAAGTAAAACCGTAAATCTTTATTATGAGTCATAATTATAAATAGAGTGCATGTTAACAATGACACTTTAAATAAATAAAATAATGATTTAAACTATATGTTTTACTTTTGATATAAACATTTAGATTAAATATGCCATTCCCATTAATGGAGTTAAACACTTAAACTACATGAAATCATTACTGAGAAGTTACAACATTTTTTTATATTCAATAAATAGAAATATTTGTTGTGGATGCAATGCTTTTGAACACTTTTCCTCTGGCATGCTGTGTTTTAATGTTTTACATACATAATTGCTTATCATGATATTAGCAGATTGTCTGAGAAAATAGTTTCGTGCAAATAATGTACAAGATCTATCTGTTTCCATTAAAAATATAATCAATTAAAAATACTATTTGACCAGTGAGATTGAGAAAATTTCTCTGAAATGTATTTTACACTATTTGATTTATTTATTCAAAAACAAGGCAAGGATAGGCTTATGATTTTTATTAATGTAGCCTAATATTTGACAGCACATCCGTATTTCATATTTTCCTAATGTCTTGTACCGTTAAACATGTTATCATGTGGATGAATAATCATATGCAAATGATATGCAGATGAGTATATGCATAGTAAAACTAGGCGTTGTAAGCTCCATATATGGTCCTTTCGGGGAGGAGACGCATGTGCGCACAATCTTCCGCTGACTGGGATTTATAAAGTGAATTTTGCGCAGGTTCTGGCGTACGCACGGTTTTATAAGTCTGAATATTTTTTAGCGTACGCCATTTTTGGCTTTCGGGCGCACGTACACTTTTAGTAAGGATCCTACGCACAGTTTTATAAATGAGACCCCTGATCTTCTCCTAAACACTAACTGAGACAAATTAAAGCATACCCTCGACAAGCCCTTACACAATTCTGAAAAATAGGGTGTAGCAGAAAAATGCACGTTTACAAAAGCACACAAGCACTATATAACTTCATGGGTTGTAAGCGTATGGTTTCATGTGGCCAGGATGTACAAAGTTACTTTAGTTGTTTATGCAATCAAAACCACACTTGCTTTTCTGTCATGGTTTGTGCGTCTAAAACCTTTGTTTGCCAGTTGCATCTCAGTGGACTGTAGACTAGAATAAACAGCTGCTTCATGCCACTCTCGCCTAGAGCGTTTGTTTGGCCGCATTCAATATGTAAACTGCAAAAAAAGCTTTTCGTTCATCTTTCGAACACATTTGTGTTCGAAAGATGAACGAAAGTCTTACGGGGTTGAACAACATGAGGGCGAGTAATTACTGACAGAGTTTTCAGTTTTGGGTGAACTAACCCTTTAAGGCCCCCATATACTGGTGTGGCGTCATTTTGAACAAAACTAGGCCAAAATGAAGTTTGTTTTGTGAGTTAGAAATGGCATGCCAAAGTGAACTGGTAAACACCTCTAAACTACCATTGGTCCGTGACGTCTATGTAATAGGTAGTAGGTGTGCTCTGAAGCTCCGCCTTTTTAATGTGGACTTTCTTTGCTTCATTTCTTCTGATGAGTCCATTGAGGTCAGGCATCCGCGTGTAAAAACTGTTTTTTTCATGTTTAATACTGTAAAGCTGATTACTTTAAAGACATACACTGTATAAAGTGGTATATAAATAAACATGACTTGAGTGCCAAACTGGTACAAACATTCACTTTTTTTTTTTACCCCTAAGCGAAGAATGAAGAAGAAGTTGGCCGTGAGTGTAGCGTGGCCTTTAGAGATGCTGCAGCTCTGTATAAGTACCTGGGCACTGCTGTTGCGGGACAGAGCTTTATAGATCTCATCGATGTTGGTGGCCACAGACTCAAAGCAGGCATTGAAGCGGTCAAACCTCTCCTTCTTTATCTGTTCAAACGCCTGCTTGGCCTTCTTCGCCCTCTTCCTGGCAGCTTCAAACTCTAGGACAAAAGAAAAAGAAAAAGACATTAAACAAACACAAAAAAAGTGAAATGCAATTCTGTGTGAGCTGCAAAAACACAAGCTGAGATATACAAACAGTGATGAAAACAACTATGACGCTTCTAAAAGTTATAAAGAGATCGTAAAGAAATCTATATGAATCGAGTGGTTTAATCCAAACCTTCTGAAGTGCTTCCGCTGACCACAGTTAGTGTGTTTGGGTGGAGCAGAAGTCTCCCAGGTTTAAATCATATCTTCATGTGTGTTTGTCAGATGAATGAAGACCCTTGCACTACAGTGTTTCTCAGAGCTGCTGTACAGCTGAACTCTGTTGTTATCTCTGTAAAGCTGCTTTGAAACAACCTGTGTTGTAAAAAGTGCTATAGAAATAATGGTGACTTATTGCGCATAACTTATTAACACGAATCCTACTTACTATATATTGTATAATGTTTTTTTGTCAGCTTAATTTATAAACCTGGATTTAGTGTTTAGTTTGCCCATGTCTGTTTAAATGTGTGTGGACTGTGTATATATACACATACATACACAGTACCGTGCAAATGTCTTAAGGTTATAAGGTTATCAATATATTTTGCTTTAGTTAGCCAATAGAAAAGGGACCTACGGCCCATCTGATCTCATGTGGAAGACATCTCATCTCATCTCATCATCGAGTCAGGCAATTAAAGGGACAGTTCTCCCAAAAATTGAAAATTTCCTCATCTTTTACTCGCCCTCAAGTTGTTCCAAACCTGCATAAATTGCTTTCTTCTGCTGAACACAAAAGATGATATTTTGAAGAATATGAGTAACCAAACAATTGATGGACCCCATTGACTTCCAAAAAAAGGGAATGAAATCAAATCAAATACCATCAATGTTAAGTCAATGGGGTCCATCAGCTGTTCGGCTACTGACATTCTGTAAAATATCTTCTTTTTTTTGCACGTGTGTTCAGGAGGAAGAAACTCATACAGATTTGGAACAACTTGATGGAGAGTAAATGGAGACAATTTTCATTTTTGGGTGAACTGTCCCTTGAAGAGAGAAAAAACTCAGACGAAATCCATTAGAAACGTGCCTTCTTTCTTAGTGCCACAATAAAGCAAAAGTATATAAATAACTGTTTTAAAACAAGTTCTAGCATTGCCTAAGGCTTCTGTCTGTCATCTTTTTATGCCATAAGCACATTTCTTTTCCATGAGAATGGATAATGAAGTTTAAAGTACTAACTCAATAATATAAATGATCAGGCTGTGGACAGTGGCATTAACTGCAAATTTTTTTAATTAAGTTATTAAAACCCCCAAGGGTAGATACCCCTTGGCTAACTGCTAGTTGTTCAGACGAGTCCGCAAGACTCAGTGTGATCATAAAGACTGTGTTTGTTCTCCTGCATGTTATTCCCCTGCCGGCTGTGCATGTCTGACCGTCGCTGGTCTCCTGGAACTTGTCTCGGACGCTCTCCAGCTTCTCCATGGCCTTCATGTTGGGGGCGCTGATCCTCTGCAGGATGCTCTGCTGCTCGTTGAGTCTCTGCTGTAATGTGTTCATCTCCGCCTTGAGCTCGTCCTCGGACAGAGAGTCCTGCAAGCAGCATCGGTCACGGCACATGTCAAGTCATCTTCATTTATATAGCGCTTTTAACAATGTAGATTGTCTCAAAGCAGCTTTACAGAGATAAACTTAAGGTAACAGAGATTGGTTTGGTTTTATAGCGGTTCTTGAATAATGTTATTTTCCAGCTAAAGTTAGTTTTGATTGATTCACTTCCGTCGAAATGATCATTTGTTATTTAATTAGGGGCGCTAAGACGACACCGTTCTCTCTAAACAGACTTTAAACTGAACCTGTGATAAACGCTGATGGCATTCACATGCGCATTAAGAATTGATTCTATAGTTATGTGCGTTTGAATATATGTGCGCAGGTTTGTAATTCCCTACAAACCATGCCTAAACAAACTACTTGTCTTGCCTATACATTTTGATACAGAATTTTATTTTATCACTTCGGGGTTGGTGCGTGAACCCTAATTTCCAGAACGCTTTATCACATTCTGAACACTACAACGTGCTTACGAGCGTGTAAACAGTAACACAAGCATTGATGTACCTTTAGGTCTTCTGACAAGCTGCTGAAGTCGATCTCAATGAGAGCTTCCTTGGCTAGGACAGTGCTAGATGCCTTCTGACTGCTGCTGAGGCTCTCCTCGGCCTGAGAACTGCCCTGCAACACACACACACACACACACACACGAGCAGGATATCAGGAGGAGTTCTCAAATACACTGCTAGAAAGCTTCAACACAACTACATGCTCTTTATTAGGATTTTTTACCACCGCTTATATCCCAATAATAGCAGTTTTATTTCAAAAATAGTTTTAATTCATTAAAACTATGAAAAACAAAACAAATGTGGGACATTATACAAATGGCAATTATGTAGTAAAAAATAGTTACACAATTCATAAGCATCTTATATTTCAGATTCTTTGGCTGGGTTATAGTTTTTAACGGCATTGAGGTTCCAGTGATTGCTGGACGTGTGTTTTCTTCCCTATCTGCTTCAACAACAGTGACGTCACCTCCTCCTGGCTGATGTCGTCCATGGTGCCGGAGCGCAGCGGGAGCCGGATGTCCTGCATCTTGCAGGCCTGCAGCAGGTTGTGTCTGTCGCTGCGCTTCTGCTCCAGCTTGGTCTCGATGGCCGTCACCTCCTTCTGCAGCTGCGTCAACTCCCTGACCACACACACACAGGGTTCTCCTTACAACATCATACTGCTTTTCCTGGAAACATCTATGCATGTCTGGATAAAGCATGAAAGGTCTCACTTGTTTGCACCCCCCAATTTCTTGCGGATCTCCTCCATCTCATGGTTTTTATCATTGACCTCAGATTTCTTGGCCAAGTGCTGGTTTTTCAGATCCTGCAGTTGTGCCATGGTTTCATCAATGATCTTCATATTCCTCTGCTCTTCCTGTTTAAACATGAAGTTCAGCAAGCATTATTTCTAGGCTCAATGGAGCATCATCATGAGAGTATCTGACTGATCTCTACCTTCTTGAGTCTCTCGATCTCGCTCTCATCTTTCTTGACCGTCTGTTCCCACATGATCACCTTCTCCTGGTCCTCCTTCAGCTGGTTCTTCTCGTAGTCCAGCTGGATCGCCAGGCGAGTCTTTTGAGTCTCAAACTCCAGGCTACCAGAGAGTTCCAGGACAGGATGGGTTATCGGTTACAGGAAATAAAATGGTTATCATAATTGACATAATTCTCCATCAGATGCAAATAAATAAGTACTCTCCACATTTCTTTTGTTGTTGTTGCCATTTCCTTTGGTGTTGTGATGTAGGACATCTTTGTTGAAACAATTTATCCACAACAAGCAGATTATTTCAATGATCTCACCGTTTTTTTGCAATCTCATTTTGTCTCTTGACTTTCTCTTCTTCAAATTCACGAATGTTACGAACTCCGATCTCTTTACAGAAGTCCAGAAACACCTCGTCCTCCACCTGGAGTGAAAGACAACACACATGACTGCTGATGGGGGATAGATGAGCCACGGTAAAGGTGTTTTAGATGACTCTGCTGTGTCCTACCAGGTTCATGCGGTCCTTCAAGTCCTTCATATCTCTCTCTCGTGACTGGACGATTCTCTTGATGTCATTAATGCGTGGACTAAAATTAGCAAGTTCACTCTCCAGCTTAGATTTTTCCTGAAATCACCACAATAACGAGATATTTTTCACACTTACATATGAGAAAAGCGAAAAAGCAGGAAAACAAATTAATTCTGATTTTAATTTCAGATTGGATGAGCCACATTCAAATTTGTTGCAAAATACTGTTTTGCAACAAAACGCAAACCTGTGACCACCAGTTGACCTTAATATGAGTGGCAACGCTGCATGACGACTGTAACGGTTTGCAGTTCGGGTAATGTACCATTATATCACATGACAATAGTTTTTGATTATTAGTCACTCTCAGACGCAATGCGGTCCGGATTCAGTTCTTTCACAGCTTGTTGTGCTTGAATGGTCAAATACACACACACTTAAATGCACATTGTGTGGGTATTCACATCATTCTGTTGTCTTGCACAAACTTTGCAAAACTGGATGTGTAACAGTATATTAGATCCGTGCATTTGTTCTTAAAGGGACAGCAGCCTAATAAACTGTTGCCATCCGTTTCATTAATGTTAATAAAAATGATAAAAAAAAGTCACACTGCTTTTGACAATCACTTTTGTATCATTATGAATCAATTTAGATTTAATTAATTCAGTGAAGACTTTTTATATTTGATTATTCAATTTCTGTAGCATTTCTTATAACATGTTAAATAAAACCACGTTAAATAAAACCACATTGTTTTGTACCTACTATACCTGAACAAATTAGTTTTACATTTTATTGACCAGTCTTATATTTGCAAAAGTTTTGTGTTTTTGTATAAAGGAATTTTATTGATGTACTAAGTAGTTTTTCTATTTGTCTCAGGCCTTACAGAAGACTGCCAGTCACGTGTGTAATGATTGCTTCAATAATATTAGTTTTTTTTTTTTATATTGGGTTGACTAAAATGGGAAGAAAAAACAAGTAATTCCAAACTTGCATGGCTTGTAAAGCTTGAAATGAGCAGTTGCGTAAGTGGCGGTACCTGCATGTTGAGGGACAGGTGTCTGGTCTTGGTTTGCTCCAGATCACTCTGAGAGTATTTGAGTCTCATCTGCAAACCGTGAGCTTGAGACTGAACCTGACGCAGCTCTGCCTCCTTCCTCTTGGCCTTCATTTGCTCCTGATATGAACACGCAAACAATCAGTCACGGCACATTTGCTCAAATCCCATACGCACCCTTCTAATTCAGCATTGCTTACTTTAAGCTCATCTGTGAGTTTTTCCTTTCTGTCTTTCAGTTTATCAACGGCCTTCTCATCCCAGCGCCGAGCCTTGGCCTTCAGGTCACTGGCACCCCCGGAGATCACTCCAGACTTCTGGAATAACGTCCCGTCTAGAGCCACAGTCTAAACAATACATAAAACATGTCCAGAATCAATAAACTAAATAAATTTTTACATTTCCCACAGAAAGTGAGTAGGGCTGTGACTTTACGTTCGAAAATTGATTGCACAATCGATCGTACCAACCAACACAAGTTTCAAAAACGAAAATAGGGAATCGATTTTAATGGCCTTTTTTTTTAACCAAAAATGTGTTTTAGCTGGACAGATCAATACAGCACACAGAACATGTAGGATGCTGGAAAATAACAATGTATTTCCTGTTCACCAAATGCTTTTTAATATTCGCCATTACTTCAATGAACAAGCGCGCCGTTATTTGTTGTGTAGTGACGTGTGTGTTCAAGTAAGCCAGAAATGCGCAGATTCTGTGCTATACGCTGTATTTAATATATCACGAGGATCACGAGTTGCGTATTTGTGCTAAATCCGCGCAGATTTGGTTTACACGAACTTCCCCAGCAAAGTGAGTAAACATAGAAACACGCCAGACTGGCTCGTGATTTGACGGCGTTTCCCGCCAAAGTTAATTTTTACACACATTTGGCGTGTTGGAGGGAGTTAATCTCAATCCCTGAATGTGGCGCTCCTGTTTGTCATTGTGCAGGAAACTTCACGCCAATAAATCATCAGAAATATTGCTGACTTGTGCGTCTCAAGCGCCCTCTTTACGCTCGTCCTAATGCCTGTTAGGTGTCCGTGGATTTGCCTATATTTGGTGTTGAAAATGGAAACGTCTTTAGACATGGAAAATTGATTTTACAATAGATTCAATGAAAACTTATGCTTCAAAAATCTTACAGGATTTTTTCACAAAAGTGACAGCCCTAAAAGTGAGCAGTGCTTGCCTAAGCAATAATCACCAGCTCTATGGTGTTGTGGGTTGCGAAAGCATTCACATTAGTCGCCGGGGTGTTACAGGCCTCATTCGGCACAACTATGGAGCATCTAATGCATAATCCGCTCAAAACTAGGGAGAAACAGATCCGATTCAGTGACTTTTTTCTTTGTACCTTGTGTCTGTATGGTCCCCCGAACGCGATCCTGCGAGCGTCCTCCACGTTCTCACAGACCAGGGCGTTTCCACAGGCGTACTGCAGGGCTTTCTTAATGTGTGGCGGCTCATATCGGATTACATCAATCACCAGTTTGGCACCACGCAGCTCACGCAGCTTCTCATCTGTGGGCTTGACCTGGTGAGGACATTATAACACATGAATCAACATGCATGGTTCACAACACATCACGTGAAACACTTCTAGTGACATCACCTCCAGGTAGTCCAGGGGCAGGAAGGTCTCGGGTTCGCCACGCTGCTCTTTTATGTACTGGATACAATCACGACCCGTCTTCTCAGAGTCCACGATGATAGCATCCATGTTTTTGCCCAGCACTTTGGTGACAGCGATCTGGAACTTCTTCTGTGTGGGCTGGCACAGGTCAATCAGTCTCCCGTACTGGAGGATGAGACGATCATGTGAGCATACAAATATATAAGACACATACATACACAAACAAAATCTACAAACCCCATCAAAACAGCAGCTTTTGAAACAAAGATAAATCATATCAGAACTTTTGCACCTAAAAATTACAGCCTATGCAAAGGCAGTGAAAACCAGTCACATTTCAGAGGAAATAAGATAAAAAAATAAATCTGTGCAACCGCTTTTATAATTTGGTATGTGGATATGTTCAGAATTAACTAATCAAGCTCATGTGAAATAGTACACACCTGTCTTCACCTTACTCTGATTAACTACAAACAAATCTTAGATTATTATGAAAAATAAGCTGGATCTCATTGTTGAAATGCATCACTCAGGTGAGGGCTACGAAGTTCCCAAGGCATTAGATATACCATGGCACACAGCGAAGACAGTCATCAACAAGTGAAGAAAGTACGGCACAACAGTGACATCATCAAGAACAGGTCATCGCTCGAGAATTGATGAGAAGACGATGAACCTAAACGGTCAGGGAGGCTTTCAAGAGGCCGACAGCAGCATTGAAGAGCTGCAGATCTTTCTAGCACGTACTGGTTGCTCCATACATGTGACAAGCCTTTTCTGAGCCTTGAGCCCGACTAAACCTAGCAAAAACAAATTCAGTCTCCTAAAACCATGTGGGGAAATGTGTTACAGTCTGAGACAAAGACTGAACTTTATGGTCAAGATTGTAGGTGTGTTCGCCACAAAAACATCAGCACAACGGAAAAAGATCACTAGCATTTGGAAGGACATGAGTGTGAGTAACTCTTCTGGGTGAGCTAACCCTTGGATCGTCTGCTAGAGAGCTGAAAATGAGGAGAACTTACACCTCTCAGCATGACAATGATCCAAAAGCACTCCACTTGAAGATTTTTGATGGACTACATCAACAAAAAAACAAATGCTTTAGCAAAGAAAGATGACCTGTTTAGCAATGGCCCAGCCAGAGCCCAGACCTGAACCTAGGGCTGCACGATATTGGTAAAAAATCACATTGCGATATTTTATTTTTCTGCGATATATATTCCGATATAAAAACAATTTCACCAGATTACTTAAATAGCTCTATTTGGAAAGAATGAATCATTCTAGAATGACTGGGGTGGTTTTGTCATGGAGTAAATCCACATAGAAACTAATATTAATATAAATGTTAACTAATGTAGTTAACTAGACTTTAATAAATGGAACCTTATTGTAAAGTGTTTCCGATTTATGTCTCTTGAGTTCAGTGTTGGACAGACCCGTTGTTTTAACCATTCATTAAAGTGAATCGGTTCAAATGAGTCATTAGTTCGCGAATCGGACGTGTCATTAACGGACCACATCGCACAAGATTTGTCAACACAGAAAACATTTCATCACTGGATGAAATCCATCACTGAGTCAACTCAATTCAATTATATGCGCGAGGGAGGGAGAGCGAGAAAGACAGTTTGAAGACGGTGAGAGTGCGCGCGCGACCGGGGCTTTCACTCTCTCTGCTCGTTCTCTCAGTTAAACAAGCGCAGCAGTCAGTCATCTACTAGGCTACATCACTCATCTACATCACTCACCGGTCAAACTTTGGCGGGACAAAAATACGCTTTAGTAAGGCTGACAGAAAACAGCGCGCAAGTTCCAGTCTTCTTGCGCTTTATGTTTAAACTGACAGGACTTGCAAATTGATAAACTCTCACACTATGATGGTTAAACTTTGCAATTAATCCACGAATCACAAGCGTTACGGGCCGGGGAGCTGCTGGCACGTAGCCTACTGATCATGAATCACGCATCAACTACGATCCCTATAGCCTACTTGACATCGCACATATCTGCGATGTGACTATCGTGGATGCGCACATAGCGATATCGATGTTAAAATGATACATCGTGCAGCCCTACCTGAACCCCATGGGTAGACCTGAGAAGGTATAGGAGATCTCAGGCAATCTAACAGATCTGGATCCTTTTTGCAAAGAAGAGTGGGAAAATATTCCCAAGTCAAGATGTGCCTCTAAACAGACTGCTGTAATCAAAGGCTGCCTCAAGGAAGAGTCCAGGGGTGTTGCTTATTAGTGCCACGCATAGGTTGTAATTTCACAATTCATTAATTATACATTAAATGTGCACAACATCTGATATGATTTATCTTCGTTTTGTTTTTTACAGCCGTTTTAACAGGGGTGTGTAGACTTTATCTCCACTATATACGAGCTGAGTAAAAGGAGGCCCTTCTTCTCACCACTGATCCAGGATACAGCCTCTTGATGCTCTCCAGGATCTCAGCCTTGCGCTGCTGCCTGCTGTTCTCCTGTCTGTCGATTCGAGCGTCACCCAGCTGCTCCATCACCTGCACAACACGTCACACACTTCAGCAAACACACCTTTCACTCCTCTCAAAGACTCCCTGAGGTCAGGTCGCTGTTCTATCAGGTATAGCGTGATAATGTACACCTTGGCAAAAGCCTAGGGTCATCCTTGGCATGCCTGTGGACAGTCTGTCGAGTGGGTGAAAATGGGTTTTTAATAATAATACGTTTAATTTATAAAGCATTTTCCCAAGCTCAATCGATAAACAAATACATCAAAAACAGGACAAATATAAGAAACAATACAGTATACACACATCAATCACCACATACACACCACATGGGGTCTGGAGTGACGAATACCTGATCACCAGCCCGAGGTTGCATTTTCTATCTCTGATCATTTTCTATTAGTTAGTACCGGCTGCAGATAAGTCTTAATTGTTATTGATTTGAATGTCAACGTAGATGATGAAAAAGATGCATTGGGATTGGCATTTATCAGGGCTGCCAACTCTCACGCCATGACACTTTTCACATGCTCTCAGAACGCGCAGGAAGCCTTCAGCCACGCCATTGGGCCAACGGACCTTACACGACCATTGGGTCTCCGTCGAGAGCAGTGGTCGACCGATATTGGTTTTTTGATGACACACTTTATATTCATTTTAATCAATATTTAAAATTAGAAATAAATTAGAAAACAAATCTTTAAAATAAACATGCTTATACTTTAGATGGCAACTTCTTGAATCTCCAATCCGATTACAGTATTTTTCATAAATAAAGTAATTGTTTAAAAATATGTTAATATGTGTGTGGCGAGCAGGACGAGGCCGTGAGAGAGCGGCGCGAGGTGTCGCGCAGGAGTCGCTCATCATTAATCACGCCACCGGCCTCGCGCCGCTCTCTCACGGCCCTCAGCCTCGTCCTGCTCGCCACAGTGTGAATAAAAGGGAAGTAAACACTGTAACAGGGCACTCAGTAATCTGGTAATTTCTTGCGCACTGGTAATCATATTTGTTCAAATACAGACAAGGTAATGCTAATTTACATACAGCACACAGTGAAAACAATATGAATATGACACAGTGGGACACTGGATATAGCACAGCATATTTTAAACTGAAGGATTTAAAGTGTTTCGATGGCGTCTCCTGTGAAGCTGATCTTCTGTTTGCATTCACTCACTTCGCACGGACCGCCCGTCACTCGCAGGAACACGTTTATGAAGGCTACAAATGCACACTTCACAAGATATCACGATTAAACCTGCAAGGTTTGTGAAATTAAATGTTTATTAGATATTCAGAGATTTGTTTAAATGATGTAGATGTGCATTTGCTTAATGTTGACGGTAAATGAGAAAGTATTTTAGCCTGATTGTTTGCCTTTTCTGTTACAAATAATATAAAAGCAAACGCTTTACCAGTTCTGTCTAACACAGTATGAGATATGACTGACAGAGATCGTAAACGAATGAAGACGGAGAATGTGAGTGAGCGCTGTGTGATCAGGCGCTGGTGTTCTCAACGCCGCCCGTCAAAATACAAGTCCCGCTTCCAACACATCGGCCAATCAGAAAAACTTAGCGGCCGATGCCGGTATTTTAAAAAGCCAAGCATCGGCCGATATATCGGTCGACCACTAGTCGAGAGCCCTGACTCAATGTCTTTTTAGAACAGCAGAAATTAAATTGGTCTCATATTTGATGAAGTTTGCATAATTGATTATGTTATTTTCCCATTTTATTCTGTGCAGCTGCTTTGAAACTATCTGTATTGTATAAGGACCATTAAAAACAAAGGTGACTTGACGTCACATAGCGTTCATGAATCAGAGATGCAGAGTACACATGATTTTATGCTGGCTGACTCAACAAAGATCTAATAGCTGTATTCACAAAATTATGAAGGCTTGGGGAATTTCTAAATAAATCTGTGTTAATTGCTTTCTGCCTGACACAGGTGACTTATGTCTCATGGCTGGCATTCCTCTCAGGGCTTGGTGACGGAAGGACCAAGCCCAAGCCCCACCTCTTTTGTTAATAAGGGCAGGATTATTAATTTAATTAGAGTTTATTATTTATCGTGAAAACTTATTTTTGGTTTGATTGTTTTTCCCTCTTTCAAAAACTACTATCTATCACTCCCATGTAAAACACCAGAGATGGTCACCATTTGGTTCCCTCTGGAGACTGTGAACTAAACCTAAAACTAAAAAGTCTCAGGATGAAATAACTGCATATTTGCTGAATGCCAATGGTGTGTAAAAGTGTTTTAACGTTTGCCTCTCTCTAATTGTACCTGGTTGAGCTCCATGTTGATCTCATCTATCCTCCGTTTGGCCTGCTCCACCTCTTCGGTCAGCTCCTCCTCCATCCTCTTCTGCTCGTCCAGAGACTGTCTGAGGAGCAGAGCGAGGAGAGAGTGATGAGGACACACACTCGCAGCTGTTTGCCGGGTCGGATGTGGCGTGTGATGTGTTTGTACCTGCTGGTGGTGATGTAGTCCTCCAGCTTCTCAATGCGCTTCTGGTTCTCCTCGATCTCTCGGATCTTCTGCTTGATCTTGGCCTATAAGTAACAACAATCACAGCAAATCAAGCTACTCAGTTGGTTTATTTCCACTTAATAAATGAAGTTTGCAGAAACGTTTCGCACCTCCGTCTCTATTTTCTTCCTCTCCTCCAGGTCCAGGCGGTCCTGGTCAGCTTTCTGGTCTCTGTTGAACTTCTCGAGCTCTTGAGCCAGTGTAGCAGCTCGCTTACTCGCCTCCTCCTTCAGGCGGTGGTATGCCTTCACCTGAGCACACACACAACAGTTATATTACACGCTAAGGAAGCTGTTATTTAATCATTTTTAAGGCAATGCTCTGCAAGTTTACGTTTTACCCTAGTAGAAGTATACTTTTACAATGCAACTAGACCTGAGCAACTAGATGAGGCCTCTGCACAGATCCAGGACCAGCTGGGGCCTAAACACAGTTTTTAACCAGGATGACGTTCTCGTGTGCGGGTAGTTTCGCTACTTGCTTTTATAGGGAAAAGCTGCTGCTCTAGGATCAGTTTTCTTCATAATAATAGCATATTGGCAAAACAGATTCGGCAGGCGATCCAGAGCTCAGGGGTTTCTATTCACAACGCGTTTTTGCAATGTTGAGCAATAAAGCCAATCCCAAACAAACATATATGTTGATTTCTTGAAAGCGATGGCCAATCAGAGCCGTTTAAGTTAGAATCCACTCACTGGTTAAAACAACAGAGTTTTTGTTCAATGCTGAGTTCTGCACGTTCCTCTCATTACAACAAAGTGTATGAAGTAATGAGGCATTTATATAGCGCTTTCATATGCACTACTGTACACCCAAAGCGCTTTACAATTAACATGAACGTATCCGTCGACATTATGAGAGCGTTTACGCTGGGATGTGTCGGGTGGGGCCGGTTATCTTACGCTGGGATGTGTCGGGTGGGGCCGGTTATCTTACGCTGGGATGTGTCGGGTGGGGGCGGTTATCTTACGCTGGGATGTGTCGGGTGGGGCCGGTTATCTTACGCTGGGATGTGTCGGGTGGGGGCGGTTATCTTACGCTGGGATGTGTCGGGTGGGGCCGGTTATCTTACGCTGGGATGTGTCGGGTGGGGCCGGTTATCTGGAGCGTTTACGCTGGGATGTGTCGGGTGGGGCCGGTTATCTTACGCTGGGATGTGTCGGGTGGGGCCGGTTATCTGGAGCGTTTACGCTGGGATGTGTCGGGTGGGGCCGGTTATCTTACGCTGGGATGTGTCGGGTGGGGCCGGTTATCTTACGCTGGGATGTGTCAGGTGGGGCCGGTTATCTTACGCTGGGATGTGTCGGGTGGGGGCGGTTATCTGGAGCGTTTACGCTGGGATGTGTCGGGTGGGGGCGGTTATCTTACGCTGGGATGTGTCAGGTGGGGCCGGTTATCTTACGCTGGGATGTGTCGGGTGGGGCCGGTTATCTTACGCTGGGATGTGTCGGGTGGGGCCGGTTATCTTACGCTGGGATATGTCAGGTGGGGCCGGTTATCTTACGCTGGGATGTGTCGGGTGGGGCCGGTTATCTTACGCTGGGATATGTCGGGTGGGGCCGGTTATCTTACGCTGGGATGTGTCGGGTGGGGCCGGTTATCTTACGCTGGGATGTGTCGGGTGGGGCCGGTTATCTTACGCTGGGATGTGTCGGGTGGGGCCGGTTATCTTACGCTGGGATGTGTCGGGTGGGGGCGGTTATCTGGAGCGTTTACGCTGGGATGTGTCGGGTGGGGGCGGTTATCTTACGCTGGGATGTGTCGGGTGGGGGCGGTTATCTTACGCTGGGATGTGTCGGGTGGGGCCGGTTATCTTACGCTGGGATGTGTCGGGTGGGGGCGGTTATCTTACGCTGGGATGTGTCGGGTGGGGGCGGTTATCTTACGCTGGGATGTGTCGGGTGGGGCCGGTTATCTTACGCTGGGATGTGTCGGGTGGGGGCGGTTATCTTACGCTGGGATGTGTCGGGTGGGGGCGGTTATCTGGAGCGTTTACGCTGGGATGTGTCAGGTGGGGCCGGTTATCTTACGCTGGGATGTGTCGGGTGGGGCCGGTTATCTGGAGCGTTTGCGCTGGGATGTGTCGGGTGGGGGTGTGTATCAGATGTACCTGGTTCTCTTCCAGCTGCAGATCTTGCCCCTGGCTCTGGGCCTCCTCCTCCATGCGCTCCTCAAACTCCTGTCGGGCCATCTCCACTGACCCCTGCTCCCGGTCCAGCTCGTCCATGTCTCCCTTGCGCTTCTTGTAGCATTTCTGGGCGTTCTGCAGAGACTTACGGGCCGCCTCCAGTTTCTTTATCTTGTGAGCCGTGTTCTCCTTGGCTTTAATGTACAGAGGCCTCTTCTGATTGAGATCTGCATCCTTCTCCCTGTCAACATGGCAAACAAAATCATTTACATTTCACAGCTAGCGGAGCAATAATCATGTATTATCATACGTGATCATTTAGAGATCTCCAGACTGGTTTCCATATCCTTAAAGATAATATGGAATAATTTCTGCCTGATGAATTCTGCAAGAGCTCAGGGCTCTACACTTTTGTTTGTCTTTAAGCTGTTTTTATTTATACATTTTCATAGTTGAACTTAGGGACATTCTGCTTGGGTGATCAAGAAACATCTCGCGCCAAGGGAAAACTATTCATCATATAGAAAAGCTGCCTCACGATTGTTTTCAGGGGTCCAACAAAACCTGCAGGATATGCTTGGTTTAGCTTTACTCAGCTATACTTATGGCCAGAAACATGTGTCAGGCATGCAATGGACAATCTTCACAGACGTGTGTATTTCAACAGCAACTTATTATATATTAAAAAAACATTTTTTTAATAAAATAAAATGCTGTGTGTGTAAAATATACACTCAAACAAACTGATGTGCACACACATGTGAACTGGTGTTACTGTCCTGTAACTTTTTCCCCCAGATTTGTTAAATGAAATCAATTTAGCCGTGATGCAGTAAAAAGTGCACACAATGAATGGTTTACACTAAAACATCAGGCCAGGTCTCACAGGCAGGGTTTAGATTAAGCCAGGATTAGGCCTTAGTTTTTATAAATGGGACTAGCTTAAGCCTTGTCAGTGAAACTGGGGGGAAGAGTGTAAAATACACAAAGAAGGAGATAAAAATATAATTTGGAGACTGTTTAACCAGACCAGGGTTTTTACCTTTATAATAGGGCATTTTTCCCTCTAATTTTATGTATGCTTCATCTTTCATTTAAAATATTCTTCAATTTGATCAATACATTATATCAGAATAATAAGACACTAGGCTGTTACCAATCAAAATAAATAATTTACATGGAAAATTACAACTGTATTAAATGCCCTGATATGTTTTCCTTGATTGGTTTTCCTTGAAGAGAATTAAGTTGTTGAAAAAGAAAGTAAAAGAGTGACGCTCGTTCATTGCGTTTTACCGTGATGAGAGTTCTGTGTCTTTATTAAAATCAACACATTATAATGATTTATGATATCTGTCATCCACCCTTGATTAATTTGCATGTTGTGTTTTATTACTTGGCCCGCCCGACCCGCGCATTATGATCCGCGCAGCACTATCGGCAAACTATACGCTTTGAGAATGAACACAGGCCAGGAACCCGCAACAGAACCGTCCAGGTGGAAAAAGTGTATCTGAGCATGTGACTGTCTGTCCGAGTTTTGTCGAGAGCCGGTCATAAAGTAAACTAGCCAGAAAATGATATATAACTTTTCTTTTAGTTTATTATGTAATACACAGACAGGTAGCCTATATAGGCTCTAGCACCCGAGTTTGTGGGTTTTTTTTCTTCAAAACTCGGAAGTGGGCAAAAGAGCCAATCAACACACGAGGTGTAAACATGAATGTGTCTCTCTCGTCGGCTTGTGTCCCGACTGACCGAAACGCATCTGAACACCAGGTGTGAACACTCAGACTCACTTGATCTCCTTCTCAATGGTCTGCTGGTCTCTCATCATGCGGCCCAGCTCCTTCTTCTTGTCTTTCAGCTCGTCCTCCACACGGTCCATGCGCTTCCTGTCCTTGTCAATCTCTTTGTTGCGGTGGGCGAGCTCTCGGTTCAGCTTCTCTATCTCGGACTCTCTGTGGAACAGTTTGAAGAGCTGTAACTGCACATGCGCGCGCACCACCTCGTCCTTCAGCCGCTGGTACCGCTCCGCCTGCACACACACACACGGAGAACACAGCTGGTCAGCTTTCTGACACGCAAATACATTAGTTCTGCACTGAGAAAACTAGCACTACATTAGGAGCCCACCTCTTCTTTCTCCTGCTTGGCCTCTTTTCGCTCCGCTGCGATGTTTTTCTTCCGGTGGTAGTTGAACTGCGTGTCCTCCTCGGCCTTCACCATTTCCTTCTTGAGCCTGTCGTACTCCTGAGCGAGCTCTCCAGAGCGAGAGATCTCCTCAAACAGAGCGGTTCTCTCTTTAGGGTTCTTCATGGCGATCGACTCCACCGCACCCTGTGGGAGAACAACACCACATCTACACTTAGCACTTTCTGGCAATGTTCCCTCTAAGCTGCGCGCGTGCGCGGTGGCGCACTTCTGATGCCGCGGCCGCGCAGAAAATAATAAAATGCCACGCAGAGGACTGAGTCGAAATGTGTGGGGAAATCCATTTGATTGTAGTTTAAGTGAGAAATCATTTCAGTGCTCTGGTCAACCGCTATAGTGTGAAAACTGGTGAATGCAGTTTACATCTTTCATAGAAAGAGAACTTATGCGTGTGATTGGCAGTGAGTCGTGTGTGTGGACCAAATAGCTCAATACGAGAGGCAACGAGAAACGACATGTGAAATAAAAATCACATCATAATGTTTTAAAGAAGAGTGGTTTGATTAAAGTGGTCAAAAATAATAATATAATATGAATTTTTTTTAAGCATTTAAACTGATATATTATATCACTTCAATTCGTTTTTTTTTTATATTATATTAGGCCTATATTTTATTATATTATAAGCCTAAATAATGAATCTCACAAGGGTATTGTTTAGGGCTCATTGCCATTAAAAAGTTTGAAACCCCCTGATAAAGAAAATATTGAAAATTTCATAAGCAATAAACAATCATTTAACTTTGATGGTTTAATGCTTCCTGTACACAATTAATTGACTGTACAAAAACACTTTATGGTTTTCCCAAACTGGTTATGGTTTTCTTTCATACTATATTCTATTATTGTAAAGAACTGTCCTGCAGAAGATTTTGTAAATTATTTTTCATAGGATTTATTGGTAAAGACTGTACAGTTAACAGCACTGTAAAAAAAAAAAATCAGGTAACCTAAAATGTGCTTCATTTAGTGACTGTAACTGCTAGTTTTTCAAAAATATGATTTAATACCAATAAGTTACATCAAGGGTCATATAAAATAGAAATGGCACATTCAAGTTAAAAGTTAAAACTGAATGTTGAACCCATTGTGTTTCTACGTATGCTGTACAGGTCAGGTGTAAAGAATATTTTTGCTCAGGTGGCGAAAAATGTCCGCCCAATAGAAAAAAGTTTTGCTCAGCAAGAAAAAAAAATTAGAGGGAACATTGCTTTCTGGATGTCCATTTATCTGACCTGTAACTATAGTAATAAAAAAAATCCTACCATCTGAGTAATTTAAACTTGAAGTACAAGCTTCATGTTTTGTGCGTTTATGCTTTCAAAAACTAAAGAGACCCTGGAGGAAGTGCAAAGGAGCAGAGCAACACAGGGCTGAACGCTACAGTCCTTGTCAAAGGACTGTAGCGTACGACTTGTTACAGTCGTAAACCACATCAAAGGACTGTAGCGTACGACTTGTTACAGTCGTAAATAGGGTTGGGTACCGAAACTCGGTGCCAATAGGGAACCGGTTCCGACGTAAACGGTAGTAACCAGACCGAATAAGAACGACAATTTCGGTGCCTGATTTCGGTGCCTGACTTTTAATTAGGCACACACACACACACACACACACACGCACAGTCTCTTCTGTCTCGCAAGCGCGCTCTTGCTCGCAAGGTTTGGCTGCATTTCACGTGTAAAATTACGCGTCAGAACGCCCTCTGGGTGTGCCGATAGTCTGAATCCCATATAGAATCAAGCCAATCCATTGGCTAATGGCGCGGGCGCCGCATCGATGCACTTACGTCCTCATATTATGTTGGCGCGCTCCTCTGATTTCTCTGTCGAAAAAGGAAGCTGGTCGGCAGCGCGAGGAGCTTGGCAGCGTCTCGTTCCCTATTGAGAGAAATGTTACACCAGTAACCAGAGATGTTCTCTTTCATAGGTTCACTCAACGCTGCGTAGCTAAGAAGCAGTGGATTTGTAGGCTGCTGTATCACGTGCCGTTTGAACTGACGCGCTACAGCGATCTGTCACATTTCAAAGAGCCAAACCGTTATTTATTGTGTGAATCTCGTAAAAATATTGACACAATCTGACAGCTGTGGATTTGTTCCATATCAAAAGTAACCTTCTCTGTCTTGTCTGTCGGTGTCCTCTTTGTCCGCGATTTTTCTCTGCGTGAGAAAATGGATGTGTGGCGTGAGAGCGTGTGAAAAGGGTCAATTGCGTGAGAGTTGGCAGCTCTGCTAGTAATCTCTATTAATCTCCAGTATTATTACATTGTTTGATACAATATTGTTTTATTTGATATTATGTAAATGTGTAAAATGTAATGTAAAAATTTGTATTTTATATTGGTTTTATTATTACCATATGTTAACGTTACTTGTATTTATATTGTTTAAAGATTTAAGTTAATATTGTGTCCAGTTTGGCCCTGTAAATAAAAGGGTATTATTTTTTGATAAAGTGTGTGCAGTTTCGTTTTCTTAAGTACCGTTTCAAGAACCGTTTAAGCACCGGAACCGTTTAAAAAATACCGAGTAGGTACTGGTATCGGATAAAACCCAACCGATACCCAACCCTAGTCGTAAACCACATCTAAACCGTGGTTTAGGTTTGAACTTGCCCTGACAACATTTTACTGGCACAAAAATAAAAAAGCCCCCAAAACTGCAGGTGCCAGTGACAGGCTTACAGGGTCTTTTAAGACCTTTGTAAGACCTGAAGAAATAAAAGTAAATGCTGTAAATTAGGGGTGTGCAATATTGACAAATTATATCTCCATATTTTCAAAGATTTTGTTGATAGCAATAAATAGATCATATTATTCATAATCTATGCAATGGTCAGTTCACAGTGAACGCAAATTGTCACGTGAATAAGCAAATCCGCAAAGAAAGAATAATACAAATCTTTGTTAGATAGTTTTAATTTGGTAAAAGTATTTATACATGTCTAAGTCAAAGTGTAATCTAAAATTGCATAAGTAAAAAGACTTTATGACCTTAAATTTTCTTAAAAGCATCATGAGGTGAGTTGATCGTAGAGACCATTGGTGCCAATTTTTTTTACGATATACTTGCTTACGATGCTTTTGAGAAGTGCAGCCCAGAACTGCATGCCAAACTAATCCAGTTTGCTCCAGGGAAATGACATACTCCACCTGTAAAATTGAACAATTGTAAAGAAGCAGTTTTAATTACCTGAAAGACCAGGAAGTTTCTGGCCTTGATGAGGATCCCCAGTTTCTCCAGTTCCTCGCTGTACTCCGCCAGCGGCACCACTTTACTGTTGATGCGGTACTCCGACGAGGAGCCTGCACAAGACACCAGCAGTTCAGGTGCGAGTGCAGTGGGCATTAATGAGTCACTCTGCTCTACGGCTGCACACTTATTAATAATAATAGAACAAGTCAACTCCTGTGGTTTCACATGACATACTTAAAGGTGCCCTAGAATGTGAAATTGAATTTATTTTGGCATAGTTAAATAACAAGAGTTCAGTACATGGACATGACATACAGTGAGTCTCAAACACCATTGTTTTCTCCTTCTTACTTAAATCTCGTTTTTGAAAAACACCCCTGAAAAATAGGTGAATCTCCACATAACACCGACTGTGGATAGGGATCATTAATATGTACGACTAACAGTCGGGATCATTAATATGTACGACTCCAAGAATTTGAATATGCCAGCCCATGTTCAATGCCAGGCGGAACTGCGCAGCCGAAGCATAGCAGTTGCTCAGTGTTTGGATGTACACATGAACACAAAAGTATTTTTTAGTTAGTGACGACTGTTTCCTCAACTTGGGCCAATACAGAGCTGGCCTCGGATCGAGCTACCAGGCAACACTTTCTGATGTGTAATTGTTCGAGTTCAGACAGGTAATCTTTCTCTCAAAATCGTTCAATACTGTTTATGCATCAGTAAGTCAAGCCAGTGACTAAAATATCAGCTTCACATCGTTTCTTTTAGTAGGATGAAAAAAAACTTATTTAAATTGTGAATAAATTATATACAGAAAGCGATCAAAGAACAATCTTTCCACACAGCGCGAGTTTATCTGGACACTTGCCAAACTCGTTATGAATTCAATGACGCACGTTACACTGCACAACGAAGCTCTTACTGTATTTACATCATCGTGTTTGCATTGGTGAAAGCATTAGAGAGAGTGCAGAAACTGCTTTGCAGTGATAAGATCTACATGCTCGCGATCAACACACTGTCATCTGCTCAACGCTCATCACGGCAACATTGTATGTGATGGGAATAGATCTAAATACTTTAAAAACATCTCACGATTCGTTAATCTCGATAGCTGTAATAGTAAAAACGTATAATAGCTGTAGTAGTAAAAGTATTCGAGAGAGTTTCACGTGTAATACATAGCTATTTCATATGCAAGCATGTCAGCCAATCACAGCAGAGGCCGGTTACACACAGCAGACACGCCCCTTCAAACAGAGCGTTCAAATCAGAGGCTAAAATCAGGCTAGGAAAAATGCCTTTTATTTCTAAATTATGATTATTTTTGATCTAAAAAACATACTAACAGTATAAGGGCAACCCAGGAAACATTATAAAATAATAAAAAAAAACATTCTAGGGCACCTTTAAAGCATGTTACTGAAGCAGCAAAACATGCAATCAATCACAAGCTGTGCGCATGAAAGGACATTTGGACAAACACAGTTTAGTGCTGAGACTTCCACAGAAGATGTGTGTACATGTCTTAATATTTAGATCACTTCGACTCCTCCGATCGACCAGCCAGGGGCCAAAATTGATCAAAATTTGTTTACTTATTTATAACTGACTGTTTACTTGTCTTTATTAATGTTTGAAATGTATATTAGTCTAGTTGTTTTTGCTGTGGTATGTTAAAACCATAGGCAAAAGCTCCTAGTGTAAGTGCTGCTGAGTTTTGCTTATGTTATTCAGCTGCAATTTAATGTTTTGCAAAAACACACAGAATAAATAATTGATATCTAAATGATTGACCCTTTTTTTTTTACCTTATTGGAATCAAAACTGGGAATCGAAAAGCAGAATCAGAATCGCTAAAATTCAAACGATACCCAACCCTATTATTTGTGCAGCCCTAACTACGATTGGGTGTTGTAAAGCACAGCCGTGTGTGAGCCGTGTGTGAGCCGTGTGCGGTACCGATGATGATCCTGGAGAAGGTCAGGTCCTGGCCGCTGTCCTGCTGGTACACCATGCTCACAAACGCTCGGTTCGCCGCAGGTTTGCCCACTGGAGCGCCATGAATCAAATCCTTCAGTGTTTTCACACGCAAGTTACTGGTCTTCTCTGCCAGGACAAAGCTGATGGCATCCATGAGATTGGATTTGCCTGATAATAAAAAAGCTTTCATTAGATAAACATCAATAAAAGACAGCATGAAATACAGCACAAAAAGAAAACTAGATTTCATTGAGAATTACAAGCTAGGGGTGTAACGACGCCCTCATGTCACGGTTAGTAATATCACGAAACTGAACTCACGATACGATATTATTGCGATACTCCAAGACATATAATAAAAGGTTATCAAAAAATATACTGTTGATTACAATGCTTGGACTTGGTACTGAAACCCAAAGCACAGGACAATAGAGACACCAGAATAACAATACCGGTATTCATGATTCTGAAGCTGAAAATACTGAATTATTTCAGATGAATATGCTTGCACTAGATATATTTATAATAATGTAGGCCACTTTTCAGTGGTAACATCAGACGTCTGGCTTTATCTGGACCCACAGAAGATATCCCCCCCATTATTATACATTATATTCAACATTATATAGTAGTTTATCGCGAACATAAATGCACAACTTTAAAGGAGATTTTCTCAATGTTTCGACTTTTTTGCATCCTCAGATTCCAGATTTTTATACAGTTGTATATTGGCCAAATATTGTCCTATCCTAACAAACCATACATCAATGGAAAGCTTATTTATTCAGCTTTCAGATGATATATGAATGTGTATGATGTGCTTTGGTGTTTATAGTTTTGAACTATATTGACTCATTATAGCCTTTGGATATCGGTGTCCTTTTTGCCATCAAAGTGAACCTCCTAAGGGTCTGAGGTCCTCCAATCATATCTCACAAAATCCTGCAGGAAACACTAATAATAATTACAATAACAACCGAGTCATATTAGATGGCTCCAAAACAGTAAATGTGGGCTTTGATAAGTCAAGTAGTGAGATTTTTTTAAACTGATCACTTCATTGGCACTGAAAGAGGTCTGAGTTATTTTGTGTAAAGAGTAAAGTTAAATCCAAGTGTAAACACCCTTAAAAGACCTTCATACCACATTTGCACCACATACAGTCTGTACACACCTCTGGGTGAGTGCCACTTCACATGCAGCTTCTCAATCACCCTTTATAGAGCAAAGATGGGGCTCATTGATACTGATTTTATTTGATTGGTAAATTACTTGAACTATTGATATGTTGAAGAATTTGGCAAAAGATGACGGGGACGTCATAAACGAATGCAGTGATATGTGCATGTGTTAATATGTCTAAACGTGTAATAATCCCTCATTGTTTATTAAAAGTGTTGTTGTTATTATTAGCGAACTGTGAACACGCTTACCTGATCCATTCGGCCCAATAATCGCTGTAAACTTGTGGAAAGGCCCGATTATCTGTCTGCCTTTGTAAGACTTAAAGTTTTCGATCTCTATTAACTTTAGGTAGCCCATGGCGAATTACTTATTCCGGAGAGTTTGATAAAAAATTAAAATGTGAAGCTGTTCAGAGCGCCTAATGCTAGCACGAAAAAAGAAAGCAGGCTAACATCGACTCTGAGCACTTCAGATATATTCAACGACAGACTAATATATCCTTAAAAAAACCTGCACTTCAAAGCAGAACAAAACTAAAATTAAACTAATATATATTTGTAATATTCGTTATAACACAACTAAAACAGGCGGCCATTGAATACAGCGCGCGCGATAACTGTCTGTTCCATAAACACAACACATATCGCGAGAAGATGCTAAAACTCTCTAAAACATGAAGGATATCGCGAGAATTTAGTACTGCGTCAGACGCCCCGCCCCAGCAAGCCTAGCGCCCTAGCGCGGTTTGTGCGTGTTCCTTCCTTTCTTTTACTGTCTATGGTTCCTTCTCCAGATGGAAGTGATGCCCGGGAAGTCTTTAAATCTTAATATTGTTGGGACTTAATGATATAATTCATTTATCCCAAATTAAGCTTTAATGTACGGTGAAAATGCATCACTATGGATTCAAAGGTATTGCAAAGGCACCATCTAGCGGCCACTGGCGGATGCACGATACAGTTGCGCTCTGTCTGCACGGGAAGCTCGTTCGAGAAGTGTGTGTGTGTTGTTTATCAATAACTGTGTGCGTCCATTCGAGAAATCCACACACACCTATAATGTAAACCCACCATCTCCATCATTATAAGTTGATCTGCTGCAACGCCATGTCCAAATCGGCACCTGTACTGTACACGTGTGACGTCACAGCCGCAGTCTGATGCACGTGTGTGTGTGTGTGTGTGCTGTTTCTTACAGGCTGTCCTCAAACTAACCCTTCCCTGCCTCTTCCTGTGTGTGTACTGACCTGGTACTGACCGAGAATACAGCCTCCTTAGCGCCTGTGGTCCTTCTCTCAAACATACATAAAGAGAATATACATATTTTGTGGAACTGCTTTAGGTATGGTATATCCCTAAAGTATTAATGCAAGACAAGAAGTTCTAGTTATGCCACTGCCACTTCATGGCTTCGTCTTTTCTGGAGTATTTATATGGTCCCATCACAAGATATATCTCATAACTTTATTACCAGAACTCTGCTGTACATCTGCAGATCGTAGAGAAATTGATTTATTAGGATTAACCCCTTGAGATGACCCATCTCGTTTTCCAGGGGTCCCACCACAGTGTAACAGTCACTATATCAAACACACAACAAAACACAAATTAACAATACATCAACAAACAACAAAACACAAACAATAATTGACAAATAACACCAAAGTTGAAATAACAACTACTAAATGTACAACAAAGTTTCTGTATCATTGAATCTAATTATAAATAAACATCCAATATAAAAATAAAGTGTCACCTTCAATGATAGCATGTACAGTCCAACGCAAAATGAGTTCATGTTTGTTTAAACATCCAAAATGATGTAATAGATCGAATATCTGCAGGGAAATTAATCCAGTCTATTGGGGCTTTACACATAAAAGCTTTTACCAATTGTTATTTTTGTTCAAAAATATTGTTGAAATCCGTAGATATTTAAAATAAATACATTTAAATATAAACTGAAGCCAGTGAATATGTCGTCTTAAACGCAGAGATGGAAACCTCACTCACTCTAGAGAAAGCTTCGTGCTGATTTTCTTCTCATCTTTCTTGAGGTGTACACCTAATCACATTTAGGTGTACTAATTTTTCATTATTGCTATTTTAACATTTTATAAATATTGCAGTGTCATCAAAACTGACTCGTGGCAGCACAGTTGTCAGTGTATTGGAAGCAGTGATCTGTGGGATGGCTTGATGGAATAAGCGGTTGAGTGTAAAGGTGTTTCTTTACTTCTGGCCACACTGCAGACTTACGTGTGTGTGTGTGTGTGTGTCGTAAACCACACCAGACACTGGGAACGCAGTAAATGAGAGAATTGGAAAATAACTTTATTTGTTTACAAAAATACAAAGAAATCGAACACTTAAAGCAGTTGAGTGCACATAAGTGCTGTGTTTGTAGAGTGATGTCTCAGTGAAGGCTGGTTATGATGACGTCCTCTGGCTGCTGGTGTCCACAGCGCTGGCCTCTCTGAACTGCTGAGTCCAGCTCTGAGGATCCTGCTCAAACAGCTGCCGGAGCACACACACACACACACACGCCACAGCACGGTTACGCTCTTCATTCAGATACATGTGTTCAGCTGCAAGGCATTACACTCATGAAGAAATCACCAACAGTCATTTTAAGGGTAAATCCTTGCCAAGAACATGTCAGGGCCATACATCAGCAAAACTGAAATTATTTAAAAGAAAAAAAGCTTCTTTTAAAGGCCATGTGCAAAGCAATGTGCTTTTAGTCTGTTTACTAGCTAATAGACAATGGATGCAAACACAACAGGGGTGAAAAAGACCAAAATGTAACAGTTGGGACAAGACATTTGAAAAAGAGAGGTCATGGTTTATTAAGTTTAATTTATTACAAGGCAGAGTGGTGGTATTAGGGTTAGGTATATATAATTATATAGGGTATATTATATATATATATTATGTATAGTATTTAAATGACAAACTGTGAGAAAAAAAAAAAAGTTATCCATGGGGAAAAATCTATATAGATGACTGTGTTTTGCTTGTATTTATCAAAGGTGCACATTAGGGGAGAGCGTTGTAATTAAAAGATTGAGATAAAAAAGAGATTGCAGACTTACAGAAGGCAAGAAAGGGAGGGTGTAATGGTGATTGATAAATAGGTGCTGAACATTTCAAATATGTGTATTTCACCATTCAAGCGCAATAAGCCACAGAACTCATTAAGGTTCACACACAGCGTCTTTCTGCCACACTTGAGTGTGTGTCGCACAGAAAGCTGCCTGTCAGCACGTGGGCACTGAATTCACTTCTCCTGCAAGGTTTACTGCAATCTTAATAACTTATCGAGCATGTTCCGCCCTTTAGTTCCTCATTCACCCATGTCCATCACGGGATGGACTTCAATGGATTTGATGGACAACAAATGGATCAGAATATCCAACTTTTTTTTTAAAGGTATGGACATTGCATTTTATTTTTAATCCATTTAAGAAAAAAAAAAAAAACATGTCAAAACCAAGGATTTAAAAATAGGACAAGTGCGCGCCTACAACTACTCTAGCGTGTCAGTAACTTTAAGCAGTCCTGCACTGCACGAGTACATTAACATACTGCGCTTATGAAGAATTTAATAAAATCTCTATAGATTGCCACTTGTTGCCAGGATATATAGCCCTACTCCTCGCGCGCCCACTCTTTGAAAACCCCTGGTTTTTTAATATTAAACAAGGGTGGGTGTGGCCAAAATTACTGGATGTGAACCTACAAAGTAGTTTTTTTGTAAAATAAAAAAGATTTATCAGTGCACCTCTAATGAAATGAATATGGCTTAAGCCCTGCCCATTTTCAAAATTAATCTAAAGTGGCCCTCTCAAAAATGATCAACAATAATATTGTGGTCAAATTATAGTGATAGATGCCCCATTTTACATCCGATTCCCTGCCTGAGGAACTCTCTGCACACGTTACATCAGTGAAACTGCACACACCTCTCCAACGAACTCCAGCATCTTGAGCTTGGACACCTCCTTCTCCGCACGCAGACCCCAGCGAAACTCAAACTCCACCGGCTCCGTGTGAGGAATCTTCACATACTCCAAATACCTGGAGCACACGTGACATGAAGATGAAAACTAGTTCTGCTAACATGACCTGTAGATGTGCCTCAATGTGAACAGCGGTCAAGCTTCAGCCCTTGTGTTGTCAGAAAAGGGCTTTAAAGGAAGAGTTAGAAATGAATACTCTGGCATCATTTACTCGCCCTCAAGCTGTTCCTTCAAACCTGTACGAGTGTCTTTCTTCTGCTGAACACAAAGGAAGATGCTTTGAAGAATGTGGGTAACCAGACAGCAGAGATGCTCACAAGTCTCTGAGCTAGAGTCCAAGTCAAGTCTCAAGTCTCTGAGCTAGAGTCCAAGTCAAGTCTCAAGTCTCTGAGCTAGAGTCCAAGTCAAGTCTCAAGTCTCTGAGCTAGAGTCCAAGTCAAGTCTCAAGTCTCTTGTGGTTATAAGTGTTGCATCACGTACAGCGACCCATCCAGGTTGCTTAGAACACTGCATAACTTTATATAAGGAATTCGAAGCATGTAATATGTTAGGTTACACTTTATTTCGATAGTCCACTTTAGACATTTTACTAACCATGTACATTTTCAACTACATGTCAACTAACTCTCATTAGAGTATTAGTAGACTGTAGTAGACTGCCAGGTTATGATGTGGGTTCGGGTTTGGAGAACAAGTTGACTTGTAGTTGCCAAGTTACTTATAGTCAGTAGAATATCTTTTGGGGAACCAACAAAATAAGATATTATAATACATAATTAGCAGATATTAAGCCTACTAATACTCTAATGAGAGTTAGTTGACATGCAGCTACAAAGTTACTTATAGTTAGTCGAATGTATAAAGTGGACTATCAAAATAAAGTGGTACCATATGTTATTATGACTCCTTTATCTATTAGCATACAGTATCAGCTTTGATTTTGGTATATAATCAGTGTAAACAGGCTATTGCAACATGACAAAAACACCAAGAATGCTTTACTTTGTTAATTTCTTTATTTTGCCTTGTAGCTTGAACATACCAAGACATAAGACCAAATATAGAAAATGATATAACTCACAATACTAAAATTGACACACTCCTATTTAGTGCAAAACATCAGTGTAGCTAAATGCAAATAAACTATTGCGTCCAAATGAAATTAACACTACAGTGCACTTCCAAAACATTCAAATGCTCAAAATCTTTAGTGTAAATGTGAAGCAACTGATCAACTTATGGCATGTAACTTAAGAACAAAATGTTTAGAAATAAAATCCAAAGGGTGAGATCAGACTGGTTAACCTTCTCTTCTCTTAACACACTAGGTATGGGCCACAAAACATTTCTGGCTTCTTCTGGCTGCACTGCCTATGCAACTAATCATAGCTTAACGTTATACTGTAAGTCAACACATCCCAGACTCTCAAACCAGTGTAACGTTATAACTAAATGAAACTGTAACGTTACATAAACAACAATAATCCTGTAACCTGTTTGTAGACAACGGGCAGCCAGCGGCACGTAAATGATTAACATTACGTTAATCGACCACCACAAGGTTGGCAATTAAACAAACGCTCATTCATATTTCATAAGGAAGACAATCGGAGTTAACCTCCCGTAACGTTAGGTAGCTAAAGCAATAAGCAAGCTAACGGTAGATGGTCAATGCTGAGCTAAACATGTTTACTCACCTATCAGGGTGCGTTTTCAGACGCCTGATAAAATTAGATGTAAGTTAGTTGAGCCAGAATCTTTTATCGTGATACTGCATATTTTGCATTGAGCGCTTCTTTTGAGCGCGTCTTGTTTGAAGTTTTTGAACCCAAAGCTAACGATGAATGGCACAGCAGCGGCCGGTGCAGTCGAACTTTTTGTTTGTTAATCCTCTCATGTGTGGTCGCGCGCGCGCTGCCAGCAATAGGCCACGTAGTACGTGGTTACGTAGGCAGGTTATAGGTAACGGAGGGAGGGGGATAACAGCGAGCTCATCAGACGTTTCCTAAAAATAAACATTGTTCACGAGTCCCGCAGCTCGAGTCCGAGTCGAGTCTGAAGTCTTTCGAGGACGAGTCTCAAGTCGAGTCTGAAGTCACTGTGTGTGGGACTTAAGTCGCACTCGAGTCCGAGTCTCAAACTCGAGTCCCCATCTCTGCCAGACAGTTGATGGACCCCATAGACTCCCATAGTATTTTATTCTCATCAACTGTCTGGTTACCCACATTCTTCAAAACATCTTCCTTTGTGTTCAGCAGAAGAAAGAAACTCGTACAGGGTTGGAACAACTTGAGGGCGAGTAAATGATAACAGGATTTTCATTTCTAAGTGAACTATTGCTCTAACCATTACCCACTAGGCTCTATCTAATGTACCCATTTCATTAACAGTCCCTCTTGAATAGGAATCTCTCCAAACAGTCGCTCAATGCCACTATGGTTATAGTCATAGAAGCATGTCAGGAGTCATCTGATGAAGATCACGAATCTGTTCTGTCTTCATTCTGCTGGACCCCTTTATTGTCTATGGTGTGATATAAACCACCTGTTCATGGTCTGAGGAACAGCGGCTCTGAACACACCACCTTACCTGGGACTCAAACACAGCCCCTGGGGCATCAGGCCCTGTACTCATTAATAGACACTTTTCCACTGTGTATGAGTATTGAAAGTGAGGGCTTGGGAAACACCACACCATTTAAAGAAAGCCAATCATTTTGTTGCAGAAAGACACATTCACTTACTTCTGCCGTACAAACTCATCTGTGACCACCTTCTTTACATCACCAAACTCGTCATGCTTCTCCCTGTGAGGAGACACAAGTGATTTATTAAAAAAGAAAAAAAGGTAATCAGTAAAATTAAAATAAGGTAAAAATTCCAAAAGGATCTTGTCCACCAACCCTGGATCCACGCGCAGCTTCTTGAGTGTATTCCACACCAGATCTACAGAATTCATGAAGACACATGAGAAAGTGATCAGCAGTGGTGTAACACACATGAACACACATGAGAAAGTGATCAGCAGTGGTGTAACACACATGAACACACATGAGAAAATGATCATCAGTGGTGTAACACACATGAACACACATGAGAAAGTGATCAGCAGTGGTGTAACACACATGAACACACATGAGAAAATGATCATCAGTGGTGTAACACACATGAACACACATGAGAAAATGATCATCAGTGGTGTAACACACATGAACACACATGAGAAAGTGATCAGCAGTGGTGTAACACACATGAGAAAATGATCAGCAGTGGTGTAACACACATGAACACACATGAGAAAGTGATCAGCAGTGGTGTAGTGTGTGTGACTGTGTGAGTGATCAGCAGCGGTGTAGTGTGTGTGACTGATCAGCAGCGGTGTAGTGTGTGTGACTGTGTGAGTGATCAGCAGTGGTGTAGTGTGTGTGTGACTGTGTGAGTGATCAGCAGTGGTGTAGTGTGTGTGACTGTGTGAGTGATCAGCAGTGGTGTAGTGTGTGTGACTGTGAGTGATCAGCAGCGGTGTAGTGTGTGTGACTGTGTGAGTGATCAGCAGCGGTGTAGTGTGTGACTGTGTGAGTGATCAGCAGTGGTGTAGTGTGTGTGTGACTGTGTGAGTGATCAGCAGTGGTGTAGTGTGTGTGACTGTGTGAGTGATCAGCAGTGGTGTAGTGTGTGTGACTGTGTGAGTGATCAGCAGTGGTGTAGTGTGTGTGACTGTGAGTGATCAGCAGTGGTGTAGTGTGTGTGTGACTGTGAGTGATCAGCAGTGGTGTAGTGTGTGTGTGACTGTGAGTGATCAGCAGTGGTGTAGTGTGTGTGACTGTGAGTGATCAGCAGTGGTGTAGTGTGTGTGACTGAGTGATCAGCAGTGGTGTAGTGTAGTGTGACTGTGTGAGTGATCAGCAGTGGTGTAGTGTAGTGTGACTGTGTGAGTGATCAGCAGTGGTGTAGTGTGTGTGTGACTGTGAGTGATCAGCAGTGGTGTAGTGTGTGTGACTGAGTGATCAGCAGTGGTGTAGTGTAGTGTGACTGTGTGAGTGATCAGCAGTGGTGTAGTGTGTGTGACTGTGAGTGATCAGCAGTGGTGTAGTGTGTGTGACTGTGAGTGATCAGCAGTGGTGCAGTGTGTGTGACTGTGAGTGATCAGCAGTGGTGTAGTGTGTGTGTGACTGTGAGTGATCAGCAGTGGTGTAGTGTGTGTGTGACTGTGAGTGATCAGCAGTGGTGTAGTGTGTGTGTGACTGTGAGTGATCAGCAGTGGTGTAGTGTGTGTGACTGTGAGTGATCAGCAGTGGTGTAGTGTGTGTGACTGTGAGTAATCAGCAGTGGTGTAGTGTGTGTGACTGTGAGTGATCAGCAGTGGTGTAGTGTGTGTGACTGTGAGTGATCAGCAGTGGTGTAGTGTGTGTGACTGTGAGTGATCAGCAGTGGTGTAGTGTGTGTGTGACTGTGAGTGATCAGCAGTGGTGTAGTGTGTGTGTGACTGTGAGTGATCAGCAGTGGTGTAGTGTGTGTGACTGTGAGTGATCAGCAGTGGTGTAGTGTGTGTGACTGTGAGTGATCAGCAGCGGTGTAGTGTGTGTGTGACTGAGTGATCAGCAGTGGTGTAGTGTGTGTGACTGTGTGAGTGATCAGCAGTGGTGTAGTGTGACTGTGAGTGATCAGCAGTGGTGTAGTGTGTGTGACTGTGTGAGTGATCAGCAGCGGTGTAGTGTGTGTGACTGTGTGAGTGATCAGCAGTGGTGTAGTGTGTGTGACTGTGTGAGTGATCAGCAGTGGTGTGGTGTGTGTGACTGTGAGTGATCAGCAGTGGTGTAGTGTGTGTGACTGTGTGAGTGATCAGCAGTGGTGTAGTGTGTGTGACTGTGAGTGATCAGCAGTGGTGTAGTGTGTGTGACTGTGAGTGATCAGCAGTGGTGTAGTGTGTGTGACTGTGAGTGATCAGCAGTGGTGTAGTGTGTGTGTGACTGTGAGTGATCAGCAGTGGTGTAGTGTGTGTGTGACTGTGAGTGATCAGCAGTGGTGTAGTGTGTGTGTGACTGTGAGTGATCAGCAGTGGTGTAGTGTAGTGTGACTGTGTGAGTGATCAGCAGTGGTGTAGTGTGTGTGTGACTGTGAGTGATCAGCAGTGGTGTAGTGTGTGTGACTGTGAGTGATCAGCAGTGGTGTAGTGTGTGTGACTGAGTGATCAGCAGTGGTGTAGTGTAGTGTGACTGTGTGAGTGATCAGCAGTGGTGTAGTGTGTGTGACTGAGTGATCAGCAGTGGTGTAGTGTGTGTGACTGTGAGTGATCAGCAGTGGTGTAGTGTGTGTGACTGTGAGTGATCAGCAGTGGTGTAGTGTGTGTGACTGTGAGTGATCAGCAGTGGTGTAGTGTGTGTGACTGTGAGTGATCAGCAGTGGTGTAGTGTGTGTGTGTGACTGTGAGGGATCAGCAGTGGTGTAGTGTAGTGTGTGTGACTGTGAGTGATCAGCAGTGGTGTAGTGTAGTGTGACTGTGTGAGTGATCAGCAGTGGTGAAGTGTGTGTGACTGAGTGATCAGCAGTGGTGTAGTGTGTGTGTGACTGTGAGTGATCAGCAGTGGTGTAGTGTGTGTGACTGTGTGAGTGATCAGCAGCGGTGTAGTGTGTGTGACTGTGTGAGTGATCAGCAGTGGTGTAGTGTGTGTGACTGTGAGTGATCAGCAGTGGTGTAGTGTGTGTGACTGTGTGAGTGATCAGCAGTGGTGTAGTGTGTGTGACTGTGAGTGATCAGCAGTGGTGTAGTGTGTGTGACTGTGAGTGATCAGCAGTGGTGTAGTGTGTGTGTGACTGTGAGTGATCAGCAGTGGTGTAGTGTGTGTGTGACTGTGAGTGATCAGCAGTGGTGTAGTGTGTGTGTGACTGTGAGTGATCAGCAGTGGTGTAGTGTGTGTGACTGTGAGTGATCAGCAGTGGTGTAGTGTGTGTGACTGTGAGTGATCAGCAGTGGTGTAGTGTGTGTGACTGTGAGTGATCAGCAGTGGTGTAGTGTGTGTGACTGAGTGATCAGCAGTGGTGTAGTGTGTGTGTGACTGTGAGTGATCAGCAGTGGTGCAGTGTAGTGTGACTGTGAGTGATCAGCAGTGGTGTAGTGTGTGTGACTGTGAGTGATCAGCAGTGGTGTAGTGTGTGTGTGACTGTGAGTGATCAGCAGTGGTGTAGTGTGTGTGACTGTGAGTGATCAGCAGTGGTGTAGTGTGTGTGTGACTGTGAGTGATCAGCAGTGGTGTAGTGTGATGAAGCACTCACTCTCTTTGATGACTCCACCCTTCATGAAGACGACACTGAGGATGACAAACAGCAGACCCTTCTTCGGGTTTACAGAACGCCTGTGAGGACAGAAGGAACAGCTGGACTAGTGCACACGTGTTTGAGTGGATCTCACAAAACTGTTTCTGGTTCATATTTCAGTCCAAAGTCTGTCTGTCTATTATATCCAATACTGTAATGAGACATTTTCATGGCAACAGAAAGTTCAATGAGATAGTCTGATCAGAATCGTCACATTCCCATTATTGCTCACGCAGTGTGTGTGAGAAACAGGCCTGAGTGATAGATGAACATCCTGCTAAGGGCCACACTCACACTGCTGTTAAACTTAATACCCATCCATCAATATTACTGATCTGACGGCACTGACACCATTGGATGAGCACTGAGCTGAGCTGATGATGACATCACTGTTTTCTGCAGAGCGGCTGTATAGCTGAAATAAACTTTACACAGTTAGTGAACAGAACTGAATCAACACTGAACTCACTTCAGCTGAATAACGACTGCTGTAGAGCTGAGCTCTGTTTGCATCACTGAATCAGTATTTCCCTGTTATCTCTGTAAAGCTGCTTTGTGTTGTAGAAATAAAGCGCTGTAGAGATAAAGGTGACTCGACTTAAACCCGGATTGACAAAATAAAGTAATTTGTAAGTAGAATTGAATTACTACAGAAGCACGTCAGGTGTTAGCTAATTTCGTTCATTTACACGACAGCGGCGTTTTGTGGGCCAGACAACACAAACTTTTGAAAACAGCTTTCAAAGAGCAAGTTTTGAAAGCGATACAGTAATCGTCTCCATGTAAACTACAGAAACATGAATCTGTGAAGACGGTGAGGTCATGCACATGTTCAGACTACAGGCGAACCGTGGTTTACACAGTGACATCGCAGACTCCTGGCCTGACATGAATAACACACAGTTTCAATTGTTTTTGTAGATCCGTGTGAATGGGGATCATTGTGACAACTTTCTCTTCAGTTCACAAACAAAGGAAAAACGTTTCAGTTTTCAGTACATCGTTGTCATGCAAAGGTATCCTTAAACTCTGGGTAATGCTATACGCTCGAAGATTCAGTTTGTGCTATTTTACTGCATTTCTATCTTCATATTATGGAAGCCTTCATTACTACATATTGTTTTCTTTTGACTAATACATACTTGTACGTGTTATAGTAGTGCTTATCCATAGTGTGTGTGTGTGTGTGTGTGTCTGTCTGTGTGTTACTTACATACTCACAGGCTCTCCTTGAATGGGATCCAGCTTATTGATCAGGATATAAATGTGATTTTTGGGATCAGTCTCCACCAGCTTTAGTCCAAACACCTGCATCACACACACACACACACACACACAGTTCAGCTCTGCTCATATTCACACTATAAAGATCCTTCAGTGGAGGTGTTCAACACCTGCATCTCTCTCTCACACACACACACACACACACACACACACACACATACACACGCTGTACCTGCTCAAATGTTCGACACACACGGTTCATGATATCTGTGTAGAGGAGTTTGTAGTCCTTTATCACATGTTTGCCAATGTCTGCAGAAATCAGTCAAAAGACAGAAAACAATGAATATGTATTAAATATAAATAATTATTTCTCTGTAATGCAGTACTATGATAGGGATCTAATGAAGTGTAATTCACTGACTCTAGAAGACAAACCTGCTCTTCGAATGGGTATTTTCTTTTGGTCTTTAATCAAGATGAACTGGACCACCTCTGCCACCTTGGCACAGAAGCAGAGAAACGTTCACATGAACTATTACTGAATATTACTGATCTGACGGCACTGGCACTGTTGCATGAGCACTGAGCTGATGAAGACATCACTGTTTCTGCAGAGCGGCTGTATAGCTGAACTGAACTCTGAATGCAGCTTTAAATGAGCATTTCATTAGATCTGAAGTGCCGAATGATCAAAATGCAAGATCCATATTGTTCTATCGAGAGAGACTGTACATCTGCATATACAGTATCTAATATGTGAAACTTTTCGTTGTTTTGGAGCACACTAGCATATCAATAAGTAAGCATACTTACCAAACTAAATTAAGACAGAAAACTTTGTTTTGATTTCTTGGGGCATTCAAAACGTTTGAGTTTAGGAAGTTCAGTGTTTATTGAAACTCAGTTGAGCTCATGTTCTCTGCCACTGCTACACACGCTCATCTACTGAACCCGTCAGTGAAGAGTCAGCTCGAACACACAGCCGCTCTTCAGTCACCAGACCAGCTCTGCCACATGCAGAACACCACACATGAGTGTGAGGAAGCACCTTGCGGTCGATCTGGTCCGGTGTGAAGTTCTCTCGGGCCCTCTGCACCTGTGATGATGTCACCTGGCTGAAGGACGCCTCCTCCTCATCTTCATTCAGTGTTGCCTGAGAGCGCTACACACACACACACACACACACACACAAGCAATACAACACAATACACACAATCATTGACAATGTGTTGTTCTTAAAAGTTTTGAAATTCTTACCAAAGCAGCGCTCAAAATTCAGAATTTAAGTTACTCAGTTTTAAAACAAGAATATTTTGTTTATTTAACTCGTTTGTAAATGTGATTTCTTACTCTCTGAGTTTTGTTCTGAGAAGCTGTAACCGGTTTCTTCCTCTGAGACATGGCGATCGATCCCTGAGTATCACACACACACACAAATAGAAATAAATAAAATACATAAATCCATGTAAGTTAACGTTACCGTGTCTCTCTCATCTTGGATGTAACAAACTCAATACGTTACGCGTTAAGATTATAACATCAGGAACAACAGATTCAATTAGATAAACCACTAATATTACATATGTTCGAATAAATGACGTAAATAATAATGATAATAATAACAATACAGGATAAGATGTTTAAAGCAGTTTTCACCTGTCAGTGATGCTCTATCAGGGCAGTTTGTTTCCCGGTTCTTCTTCTTCTTCTGCTGCTGCTGCTGCCATAGAGCGTGAGCTGAAGCTGATCCTCGTCACACCGCCGCCATCTACTGGACAACAGCGCCAGCGACATAATACACACCATGTATGTATGTATTTATTTATTTATTTATTTATTTATTTATTTATTTATTTATTAATTATGTCTGGGTTTGCAATAAGCTGCTTCGTCGTTTGGATTTGGAAGCTTGTTTCCCCATAAAAAAAATAAAAAAATAAATATAAAAAAACTTTTTATCTCACAATTCTGACTTTTTTTTACTCATAAATCTCATTTTTATTTACTTCACTTTTTATTTATTTTTATGTTTTATAGCGTACGGGTGGCGACTGTACATTTTAATTTACACACAGCTGGCTGGGTGGAAAATAAACTTTGTGTCGAGTCAAAAACAAAACATTAAATTAAAATGGAAATTTTCAAAAAAGCAATCATTAATTCTATTTTATTCTATTTATTCTACATGCAATTCATACCAATTGCCGTTAGAGGAGGCACTTGTAAAAGGTTGAAAGATGTTCAGCTCAGGAGAACAGTGGTAAAGTCCGTTGAGAGCAGATGATCAATGAAGACAGCGCACACACACTAGAGGAGCAGTGGGGCTTCTTGAATATTATATTCTGTAGTAGTAATGATGGATGCCGTCGAGTCCGACAGAAGGGCTTCTCCTCTGAAGAACTTCGTGGCTGGAGGGGTTGGTGGGCTCTGTCTCCTGTTCGCTGGACACCCGCTGGACACTATCAAGGTAACAAGATTCATGAAATAACAGAGCACAAGTAAGAGAGGAACATACATTGACAAGGGTGTCATTCATAAAGTAATATTTTTTATCTGCTTTAACATGATTAGGAACTTTGGGGTGATACATGGCATTCTTCTAGACAAACATAATAATGCATACTGCTATTCTGATACTATAATATGTAAATAGAAGATCAGAATAGATAATTTACATTAATTCAGTTCTGGTTTATATGACAGTCTGAATTCACTCAGCTGCCAAATATTTACACTTACAGACTTAAGAATAGTGCATGAATGCATTTTAGTTGATTTCTCTTCACCATTCAGTGAATGATTGCTCAGCAGTTTCAGAGAGAGTGGTTAATGTTTCGAGGACAGATGAAGTAACACACACACTTGTGACAGTAGTGATATGTTATCCACAGACACAGAGGGAGCGAATAACACAGATAACGCCAGCTTTTACTGACATAGGGCTGTATCAGTTTTTATTGCACCTCGCTTTATCTCGAATTGGTCTCAAGACACCCTCCAGATAAATGTCTTTCTTCACATTGCTGTGAGTATTGTCATGTGAGCATTCATGTTTCCACAGGTCCGTCTGCAAACGCAGGGAAGTGTTGTCTACAGAGGAACATATGACTGCCTCCGAAAGACTGTTTTCAAAGAGGTAATCGCTTTCTGTAAGCTCATGCTTTTGGAAAAGCACACATAAAGTGTCCCACTCCCCACTTCGTGACAGATATTACTGATATAAGTGTCATGGGAAATTAGCCTTAAACTCAAGTCAAGTGAAGTCAGCTTTATTTCTATAGCACTTTATAAAATACAGCTTGACAGTGATAAACGGAAATAACAGAATCAATGACGCAAACTTCATCAAATATGAGACAAATTCACATTCAGCTGTAGCAATATAACAGTGTCATTATTCAGCTCAGGTCAGTTCAGTTCAATGACTGTGTAAAGATAATCAATTTTAAACCATAAGCAGTTCTACAGAAGACAGTGTCGTTATTCGGCTTGAGTCCGTTTGATGTTGATTCAAGTCGGTTCAGTGTTGATGTTGCAAAATGAGTAAATTATGTAACAGCATCTTTTTCTTGACATTTAATACCAAGTGTACACAGTTTTGGTAATTTTGTTCAGTGGCTCTCAGCTGGTTTTGCTTGAGGACCTAAATTTGACATTGGACATCCAGTGGTGACCAAATTCGTTTATTATACTAAAAAAGGTCTATAAATGTAATTATTAATACATTTATTCCAGTCATGACAACTCTCTGGATAAATCTTTAGTGTGTTATATTTGTATATGACAAGTGAAATATGAATTCATTTCCATCAAAATACTTTGATTGGATGCACAACCTTTGACATCAACAACAAAGGATATGAGAAGTGAATTTAAAAGCATATATATATATATTGCTAACCTGCTGTCTGCACAGTTATCACAGCAGACATGCGACTCAACAGTTAAGATCCACTGATTCATTCCCATAAACGTGTCTTTCTCTGCCCTTACCCTGTTCTACTGTGTGCAGGGGGTATTTGGCCTGTATAAAGGGATGGGTGCTCCGCTAGCTGGTGTCACCCCGATGATGGCACTGAATTTCTTTGGCTTTGGGCTGGGAAAGGAACTTCTGCAACGGGACCCCACCGTACCAATCACGTTAGTACAGCAGAGACACGGGACGTCTGTCATTTAAAATGATGTCAAGTCTGTGCTGAATATGTCACATTTAACACGCTCAATTTCCATGATGTGTCTGAAGGTACAATTTGTAGTCTTAATACAAGCTCATGTATGTTTATCTTCATGTAGCTGAAGACAGCAGCAGGTGAACAGATCTGTTTCTACTCCTCTTTCCCATGGCTTTATCTCTGTCAGGTACACACAGATCTGCTTGGCAGGTATGCTGGCAGGAGTGTTCACCACTGTGATCGTGGCTCCTGGAGAGAGAATCAAGTGTTTACTTCAGGCAGGGCACATTACTGACACACACACACACACTACTGTCATAAATACACCTGTATCCATAGAATGGACACCTCTACTTCTATTTTATGGTAATAAAAAGACCCATGAATGAAGCCTAACCAATTTACTATAGCAACATACTGTATAGCTCACTTGACTTTCATTAATGTAAACTATTTTACTGCCAGAAAGCACAAGAAACTGTTCTTGAGAACCAAAACACTGTCAATTTAGTTAATTTAACACTCTTAGAAGTCCAATACCGTTAGAGTGTGGTGGTAGCAGCACACAAAGAAGATGAAAGAAGATATAAATAACGACTTGGTTACTAGTCAAGTCAAGTCACCTTCATTTATATAGCGCTTTTAACAATATAGATTGTTTCAAAGCAGCTTTACTGTGATAATAGGAGATTAAAGTAACAGATTGTTTTGGCTTTACAGCAGCTCTAGAATAAAGTTATTGTCCAGCTAAAGTTAGTTTTGATTGATTCACTTCCGTTGTGAAGATCATTAGTTATTAACTAAGGGGCCGCTAACATGACACCGTTCTAACAGAAAACCTCTTAACGCGCTCCGGCCCGCTCATCCGCACAAAACAGTGCCAGGTGTCTCGAGAACGCACTCCCCGAAATAGGTTCGAAGGTCTGCGCAAACCTCAAAAATGCAAACCAAACCCGCGAAAACGCAGACGGCATGCACATAAGCATCACGTGTTTAGTCTATAGGTATGCGCGTTTGAATATATATGTGCGCAGGCGTGTAGTCCTTCTTCACAAATCAACCCTCAACAAACTATTTGTCTGGCCTTAAAAATTTATAATACATACATTTTTGTCGTGTCTGCGTAGCCACATGAACCGGAATTATCCCGACAACATTTTATCTGTACAGAGGTAAAGGGAAGGAGGCCTTCACAGGGGAGAAGAACGTAAGAAGAACTTACTAACGTAACCTCAGTTTCCTGAGATAAGGGAACGACTACTACGTCTGCTAGACGCGATAGGTAACCAATCCATTCACGCCGTGCTATGTTCAAGCCGAAACAACATGTTCTATGGCCCCAGCCTGGGACACTTAGACAAGGCCCCGAGGGCAGTAGGGCTAATGGGGCAATCGTGCCCTGAAGAGGGTTCAGAGAGGGTAACCTCTAAGAGTAATGGTGGGCCGGGCTCTTTCAGAGGCCAGCTCTAACTATACAGAGAGGATATATGCCTGTAGCGCAGGGACTTCCAGGTTATAAAATTTGGCGAAGGTGGACGGCGAGGACCAAGCGGCTGCCGCACATATCGCCAATAGACCTCCCACTGGACCACGCCCAGGAGGATGCCATGCCTCTGGTGGAATGTGCTCTGACGCCGATGGGGCATTGCAGGCCCATTTAAGCGTAAGCTGAAGTGGTAGCATCTACTATCCAGCGGGATAATCTTTGCTTCGTGACCGGAAGCCCTTTGGTGCGGCCGCCGAAGCTTACGAAGAGCTGCTCCGACTGTCTGGACTGTGCAGGGCGCTCTATATATGCTCGGAAGGCCCGTACCGGGCAGAGCAGGTGCAATTGTTGCTCGTTTTCCGACGCAGGAAGAGCAGAAAGCGAAATTACTTGTGCTTTGAACGGAGTCAAAAGCACTTTGGGCACGTAGCCATGCCTTGTCTTGAGGACGACTTTAGAGTCGCTTCCTGCGTTGAGTATGGAACTCAACGCAGGAAGCGCTAACAGAGAGCGCTTGAAGGTCGCCTACTCGCTTGACCGATGCTAAGGCTTGCAGGAGTGCAGTCTTGAGCGAGAGTGGCTTCAATTCGGCGGCTGACTGTAGCGGCTCGAATGGAGGCCCTTTGAGGGCTCTGAGGACCGTTGATAAGTCACAGAAGGGTATGGTAGGAGGGCAAGGAGGCTCACCTCCTTCCCTTCAGGAAGCGAACAATCAAGTCGCTTTTACCCTACGATTTGCTAGCCACTGGAGTATGGAAATTTGCAATGGCTACCACGTAGACTGACCGTGGAGGGGGTGCGATCTGCATCCAGTAGCTCTTGTAGAAATGAAAGTCCTAGCGGTACTTCGCATAATGCAGGGTCCTGGCTCCGAGCTGAGCACCAGCTGGAGAAGACGAACCACTTAAGGGAATAGGGGCGTCTCGTGGATGGGGCTCTAGCCTCACAAATGGTGCTTAGGACTCTCGCTGGGACTGGGGCGCCAGTTTGGGACCGGGGTGCCAAATTGTCCTGTTCGTCTGGGAAAGGAGGTCTTTCCTCAGGGGTATCGCCATGGGGCTGCTGTCAGCAGCTGAATCAGCTCGGGGAACCAAGGTTGGGCCCGCCAAAGAGGGGCCACTAGAAGGACTACGTGTCCACCCTCCCTGATCCGTTTGATGACCTGAGAGAGCAGCGCGACTGGAGGAAAAGCGTAAAGGGGGAGGCTGGGCCATTCGTCCCTGACCTTTGAGAAGAATATTGGGTAGTGAGAGTTGTCTTCAGAGGTGAAGAGGTCGACCTCTGCCCTCCCGAAAATACTCCAGATCATTTGAACCGCCTGGGGATGAAGGGTCCATTCCCCTGGGGACACATGACCCTGGTTCAGTTTGCCCGGCACGTGCGTTTCTCTCAGCGATCGCAGGTTGAGTTGTGCCCATAAGAGGAGGCTTCTGGCTAGCCTGTACAGAGGTCTCGACCTGAGTCTGCCTTGGCGGTTTATGTAGGACACTACTGTCGTGTTGTCCGATTGGACTAAGACATGGTGACCTGTCAGGTGTGGTAGGAAGGTTTTGAGGGCCAGCAAAACTGCCATCATTTCTATGCAGTTGATATGCAGTCGTTTCTCCGTGCTCGTCCAAGAACCGGTGGTCGGTTTGCCCTCGCACAGAGCACCCCAACCCATGTTGGAGGCGTCCGTGGTGACTACCATCCTCCTTGAGACTGTCCCCAAGCTTACCCCTGACTCGTAAAAGCTAGGGTGTCTCCAAGGGGCCAGGGCTCTGATGCAGCAGTGGTCCACCTTGACATGAAGGTGGCCTGAGCGCCACACTCGGGAAGGGACCTGGGGTTTAAGCCAGTACTGCAAGGGGCGCATATGTAGCAGACCCAGCAGAAGTACTGCAGATGCGGAGGCCAGGAGGCCTAGCATCCTTTGAAAGGTTCTGAGGGGGCGACGGGACCCTACTCTGAAAGAGGTCACGAGCTGCTGAATAGTCTGAGCTCACTCGTGTGTCAGCCAAGCCTTCATTTGGGCTTCATTTGAGTCTATAACTGCACCCAGGAAGGAGATCCTCTGGTAACAGTGAGCTCTTGGCTGTGTTGAGTCCTAGGCATTCCAAATGGCAGATGAGCACAGATCTGTGGGAATTCAATTCCACCTCTGACTGGGCCAGAACGAGCCAGTCATCGAGGTAGTTGAGGATGCGCATTCCCTTCTGTCTCAGGGGGAAAAGTGCTGCACCTATGCACTTCGTAAAAGTGCGTGGGGCCAGAGACAGTCCGAATGGTAGGACTGTATACTGGTAGGTCACCCCTTCGAACGTGAATCTAAAAAACGGTTTGTGACGGTGGGCTATTTGGATATGAAAGTAAGCATCTTTCAGATAACAGAAAAACCAATCCCCCGGGCGTACTAGTGCGAGGATTTGTTTCAGGGTTAGCATCTTGAACGGCCGTTTCACAAAGGGCCTTGTTCAGATGTCTGAGATCTAGGATGGGCCTGAGGCCGCCATCCTTCTTTGGAACGAGGAAGTAACGGCTGTAGAAGCCTGACTCGCTGTGGGGGGCGGAGGAACTGTTTCCATAGCACCTTTTGCCAGTAAGCTTATTACTTCGGTGCGGAGTACGTGAAGAACCACCTTTACGTTGCTCTTCACTGAAGAATTCCCTATACCCGCGAATCGGTGTGGTTTGCGAGCGAAATGGAGTGAGTAACCTCGTTCTATTGTGTTCAGTACCCATTTGACACGCCAGGGATGGCTCTCCATGCCTCGGCCAGGCTGGCTATGGGCTGAACAATTTTGGGGGGCCGTAGACTGCATTTGCAAGGCTCTCAGGAGTTATCTGTGAAGTCTGAAGATCGTCGCTGAAGGAGATTAAATCTGAATCATATGCCGAAATTAGCTGCTTTTATAGGCAGGTGCCCCGCCCCTTCTGGCGGGGTCTGAGCTCAGATCGGCGGGCTGTGCACAGATTGGTTCGCACAGTTACGCCACTCCACTATAGGTTCGTGCAGTTCCCACTGACCAGCCAATAGCGTTCGTGTAGATCACTGCAGTGTTATAGCTGTGCAGTAGCACTGCGTGATTTTATAAAAAGCTTCAGTAATCGGAGAAAAGGAGTTTTCCCCATCGCGTCCAGCAGACACAATACGAGTGACCATTCGAAAGGGAACAGCCTTTATTAAACTCAAATACTCAGGAAAATACTAGAATTAACTCCAGAGTCATAAACCACACTATATATGAACGAGAACCGACGAGCAGTGCGTCACGTTTTGTCTGTGTTTTGGTGTCATGTTCAAGGAATAGTTTGTTTCTCTTTCTCTTTCTCTTCTCAGCACAACTGCCCACATTAGTTCTGTTGTTCATCTGTATATAATGCCCTGTTTCAGTTTGTGTTATACACGCTGTTACGTTTCTCTTCTTCTGTTTGGATTACCGTTATGTTTGGATAATGCAATCTTGTTTTTGTAAATAAACTTTTAAGATCCTCTGCTCTTCAATCATCATTATCATCATCATCTGTCCGTGACACAATGACTAAGGGTGTATTCACACCTGCCTTGTTTGGTTCGATTGAATCGAACTCTAGTTCGTTTCCCCCCTTGGTGCGGACCTTTTGGGCAGGTGTGAATACAGCAATCGAACTCGGGTGCGGACCAAACAACCGAACCGAGACCCAGCTGAAGAGGTGGTCTCGGTACGGTTCCAAACGAACTCTGGTACGGTTCGTTTACAGTGTGAACATGAACCGACCCAATTGCAAGAAAGCACTGCGCCTTTGAGTTAACAGGCTTCCGTAGTCGGAGATTTTGGCATAATGGTTTGTGTTATTGTTGTTCAAGTGCGAAAGAGAATTCCATTCCGGCGCGCTGTCTGGCCACACGATACTGTTCCGCGTCTTTCTGCACGTCGTGTGTGCATCATTGGAATGGAATGAATGAATGAGTGTGTGCATCAGGACATTCACATACAGAGCGTTCTCTTTAGTCTAATCGCGCATAGATGCAAAAAAAAGCTTTTGCAGTTCATATAATGTAACGATAGTTACAATACAAGGATGATGCTGCGTTAAACTGGACAAACTTAATCACAAGCGTTAACATTGACAGCACTTGTTAGCAGTATATACAATAAGAATCTCATTATTTGAATGTGTGAACATAGCCCCTCTCTATGAAAACTTTATACCTTATCCGTCTTCTGCGCAGTTTCTTCATATCGCGTTTGTACAGAATAACACAAAATTAGTAAAATAACAAATATTGCAGTACGAAATATCTCCATGTTGAGCCTTTTTTGCACTTCCTGATTTCCCTACTTGAGAATCCTTGTCCAATGAATGGACGACCTTAGCACACGTGTGGTTTTGTTTACAAATTTTGGTTCACTTGCAAAAAGAGCAGTGTGTATTTGGTCCGGACCAAAGCAAGTAAACTATCGGACTTTCCTGGTGTGAATACACCCTAAAACACAGGAGTATTGTATATATATACACACCCGATACAATTAAAGGAAACTAGATAGAGGAACAGGTGAACATAATCAATTAATCAAAGAGTAACTGTTGAAACACACTAGTGAGTAATAATGAGTACCAAGGAAACTAAACAAACTGGGGAAACAGGAACTAAAGGAAACTGGGCAAAGGTCTAAACCAAACAAAACCGTTACAGAAACATAATCAGTAAATTTAGTTAAATTTACATCATGTCTGTGAAATCACATTGGGCCTAGTCACAAGAGGGAACATTTATAAATCCCTTGAAACTTCAAAAGAAAAAATAGAATTAAGTACAATTTTGTATTTATTTGACGATTGCATGTGTGTTTTAGACCCAGTCCTCAGCCGGTCAGCTGAAGTACACTGGACCAGTGGATTGTGGACTCAGACTGTATAAGGAAAAGGGAATTTGCGGTGTCTACAAGGGCACTGTTCTTACTCTAATCAGAGGTGTGTGTGTGTGTGTATACTGTACTGCACTGTATGTGTGTGTTCTTCAGATGACATCATTTAGTCCGTGACCTGTAAACTAAGATTAACAGGTGTCCTTTATGAATGCTGCACAGTGACACACACATTGTCTTGGCGAACCAGTTTGTCATGCCATAGCCATTACTATGTTGGTGTATTTTATCAGAATAGCAACCCTTACAAAAATAAGGTACTTCTAGTTCATTTTTATTTAGTAAAGTATACTGATATCAAGGTACTAGTTGTAAACTTGTAAGTGTACTATTTCAATACTAATTGGGACTAAATTGGCCCTCTTTTTTTCAAGTATACTTAACCCTAGTAAACTTTGAGTATACAACTAATTTACAACTACGTTTTTCATTTGTACTGTACGGAAGCGTATTGCATTCACTTGAGGAAAAAAATCTACTCTGTTTTTCTGAATTAACGAGTTAATTATATCAGAATTACGAGATAATTTTTCATGGAAAAAAGTTTTTGCTCTGTTTTTCTGAATTAATGACTTAATTATCTCAAAATTATGAGTAACTCATTAATTCATAAAAACAGAGTGAAAAAAATGTTTTTCAAGAAAAATGTATCTCATAATTCTGAGATATTAACTCGTTAATTCAGAAAAACAGAGTAGATTTTTTTTCCTCAAGTGAATGCAAAACGCTTCCATAGTACTGCAACTATATTCAATTCAATTCAGATTTATTTGTATAGCGCTTTTCACAATACACATTGTTTCAAAGCAGCTTTACAGAAAATGCATGAGTCCACATTACAATTTAGAGTGCCATCTGTTATGGGAGATGACATATAAGTTATGTATTTCATAAATGTACATATACAAATCACACTGTTGGCTAATAAAGTATTCATTTAAACAATGTAATAATTTAAGGCAGAAACAATGCATCATGTCTGTACCACAAGTAAACTTATACTGATAGTTTACAAGTCAAATACGTGTAGCACATTTTTTAGTTTATGAAAGTACACTTTGAAGTATACTCTCTGTAAACTACTATTTTAGTAGTTTTATACTGCATGTGTACTTGTAAGTTTTCTTTAAGTTAACTTAACATCATACTTATAATTTACTATTTATATTTAATTTTTGCACATTAAGAATACTACTGTTCCTATTTAGGTATTCATTTTTATACTTGAAATATACCTTAACTTGTACTTTAAGTAGATTTGAAGTAAAGTCCAATGCACACTACCAGTGGACTAGCCTACGCAAAAAAGCACATACTCAGAATTATGAACATATCTGTTTTCTTTATAAATCAATATTTTAAAACAATTCTATTATATGCCAAAACATGTAAGTTTATAAGACAGTTTGTAAAACTATGTGAAAAGAAGTATTCAATAGGCTACTCAATCAAAAGTGTAAACACAACTACAAGCCAAGTACACTTAGAATTAGGGTTGCAAAATTCTGGGAATTTTCAAAGATGGAAACTTTCCATGGGAATTAATGGGAATTTAAGGGAATTAACAGGAATTTATGGGAATAAACAGGAATAAAGTGGGAATTTTCAAAGTTGAGGGTTGGCTCTTTATAGGGAACTTAAATATAGTTGAGGAAAGTATATTTTAGCATAATCTTGACTAAAACAAACAGATGCCATTCAAATACACTTGAATATCCATGCCATTCCTCAATCACATGCACATAGAACACTGCTTACTGCATGGCTATTGAGACCACACCCCCTACTGGCACTGTGCATGCCTCCATCACATGTACAGAAGCCCAAAGCACAAGACTATTGAAGGCACATATTTGAGCCTGTGGACTAAACAAAGTGTAGTAAGTTTTGATGATATTATGGGGAAATATATTTATTAAATATTTAAATTGCAAATATCACATACAAATGTATTCATCTAGCTGATAAGTTAGATGCTAAATAAGCTAGCATAACTTTATTTACCACATAAGGCAGATGCTAGCTACCTCATGTGGCTGTTTTTCTCTTCCTCCTGCAATATGTTTTCAAGATCATTCCAGTTGTTTAGCTAGCCTTACTATTTATGTATCTGTTCATGCCATTGCATTAGTATTCTTACTAGGGTTGGGCCGATGGACGATATCATCGTGATATGATATGACAGATTTAGCGCTTTTATTTCTAAATATTAACAAACTTGCTTACAATGTCATAAACTATCTTCTATTCCGATTCTCAAATATGTGTAAGTGAGTTTGTTTTGCAGTTTAAAAAACCTTTATAAGTTATCTTGATCTGTAACGTGAGATGGGCGCCGTGTTTGGGCCGCAGTTCAGAGATTCCTGTCTGTTGGATTTAAGTTATTATTACAGCGCGTGAATTCATCAGTTTCTCCCGAAATACATGAAAGTAAGTGGCCGGTGAACTGAAAATAGAGTTGACTTTAAAGTTATTTACACTGTCTCTGATATGTATAAAAACCGTCGTCAAATATCATTTGAGTTCATATTAGTTTCTAATATGGAATATTTCCAAAATTCCCCAGCTTAACTTCCCATGGAAATTTACCAAAAACTTTCCGGAAATTTACCGGAAATGTTCCGCCCCTTTGCAACCCTACTTAGAATACTTAATTATACTTTTAAGTATATCTGATCAAGAGATTGAGTACAAGTGTAGGACAAATATACTTTTCTGTCAGTAAAGGTGAAGTATACTTAAGTGTAATTTTAAGTATATTTCTGAGAAGTACATACATAATAGACTGAAAGTATACTCTCTTATTTTTTAGTTTAAAAGAAGTGTACTAAAAGCACACTTGAATAAACTTATTTTTGTAAGGGAATTGTTAATCTGCCTTAAGGACCACAGCTGTGCATTTTTTTAAGATGATTGTGATAAATACTAACATATTTTTCTTTTTGATTTATTTAGATGTGCCCTCGAATGGTATATACTTTCTAACATATGACTTCTTAAAACACTACCTGACCCCTGATGGGGAGAGGTAAGACTCAGTTTGTTGTTTAGAGCTAATTGTTCAGAGATTTCGGGCTAATATTGTCTGGTTCCCCCAGTGTGCACCGTCTCAGCACTGCCAGGGTGCTTCTCGCGGGCGGGGTTGCCGGCACGGTGAACTGGCTGATCGCTCTGCCTGCAGACGTGCTGAAGTCAAACTATCAGACCGGTACACCACAAACACTTCTTCTGAATATGCCAATGTCAGAGTTACTGTAAAAATGTATTCCGTTACAGTTACAAATGACTTCATAAAAAAGTATTCAGTAACGTAATCAATGCACCACTATATGGAAGCACTGTAATTTGATTACTTTTGGATTCCTTCAAGGGCAAATACAGTCAAACCAAAAATTATTCTGACTCCACATATTTGTTTTACTAGTGTGTGCAGGACACTATAGTTCATTTCTGTAAGTGAGGAGAGCAAAATAAAGTAAACTGTGACATATAATTCTTCATACAGTGACTACCAGTAACATTTATACAAATTTGGGACCAAAAATGATTCCTCCACTTTGAGCTGATCATGTTTTGCTGAAGTGTGTTTTCTGTAATTGCTAATGCTCTTTTTACACACAGACTGATCAACATGAAGCATTGCTTGGTCACTGGTCGAGCTAAACTGGTATTATCTAATTGTGTAGTTAAGTTTAACAGCTGACAGATATTCAACATAATTCATGTGTTAGAGTCTAACAGAAGGACGGACAAAACCAGTGAAATATCCACTGATCTGAGAACTCTGAGTTCTGCTCATATTTATTACAATTTTCTAAACTATAGCGAATAAACTGAGATAATGCGAGAAATGTGTCTGAATAAATTTTGGTTTGACTGTATGTGAATAAAGTCAAGTAAAAAGCAATATCAGGAGAATGAACGTCGTGAGTCGTGACTGAAAACAGAAACAGATATGCGGATCTAACGCCATTCATCCACACACTGCAAACCTGTGATATTCTCTGATTTAGATATCCTCACCTAATCGTCACATTACAATTATTATAATTCTCAGTGTTAAGTGTGAAGATATGGTGACATATTACACTGAAGTAGGCTGTTTTTAAATGAACATTTAGTTATATAAAGTAAAAGTTCTTTGGCCAAATTGCGTTTCCTCGATAGCCTAAACACAGGCTTTACTCCCTTTGTTGAACTAACAACAGTTCCTGTTGTCTCTCTCTCCACTGGAACCAGTCTGCCGTTCTCCTGACCTCTGACCTCAACAGGGCGTTTCTCCCACAGAACTGACGATCACTGGATACTCACTCTTCCTCAGACCATTCTCTGTAAACCTAGAGATGTGTGTGTCTGTGTGTGTGTGTGAATCCCAGTAGATCAGCAGTTTCTGAAATACACCAAACGCCTCGTTCAAAGTCACTAAATCTTCTTCTTCCTCATTCCGACGCTCAGTTTGAGCTTCAGCGTCTTCATCATGTCTGCATCCTGAAGCGTTGAGTTACCGCCACGTGATTGGCTGATTAGATATCTGCGTTAACCGCAGTGAACAGGTGTACCTAGTGAAGTGGCAGTGAGTGTTTATTTTCTATATTTACAGACATGAGATAAATAGATACTAATAAATGATGTCACCCTTATGTAACTTGCAAGAATGCGGTTCTGAACATTTTTTTTTTTTTTTTAGAATTGCTCAATAATGGAATTTAGTTCATTGTTAACCAATTGCAACCTTATTTTAACTTTTATTTTACGTTTTGGAGAAAAAAAACCTTTTAAAAATATATATCTACATAAATTTGACTTAATTTAAAGGTTAAAGGTTTGTGAATACTTTGAATGGAAGAATTCTTGAAGTCCGGTTTGCTCATAATGACCAAGGGTGCCCGTATTAGAGCTGTAAATGTGTCCTGTGGTCTCTGTCCCGCAGCCGCCGACGGCCGGTACCAGGGTTTAGGAGACGTGCTGAGGACACTGTTACGGGACGAAGGAGCTCGCGCTCTCTACAAAGGCTTAAGCGCAGTCATGTTACGAGCATTTCCAGCTAATGCGGTGAGGAAACACACTCATGCTAAACATTTCCCAATACCAGCACTACATTTGGGCTTGTAGAAAATGTTTGGTGAGACGATTAGAATTGTATGGATTTCTGAATAAATAGATCTCAGTCGGTTTCACTGGAGATAAATACAATAACAAAGTCTTGTGCCGTAAAAAATGGCATAATAAAATATTTGTCCCCTTAATTTGGCATCAGAAGAGAGGAATATGCTGCTTAACAGCTGCGTTTATTGTAGACCAGTTACAACACTGGGCCATCTGACCCACCAGGGTCTCAGGACGAGGAGTTTAGAGACCCCGAATCCTTTATGGATCGTTTCAGGCAAGAAGAGAGGTGCATATTCATCATTTTCAGTCATGTGACTGGTGTGGAGACTCGGAGGGCAACACATCCACAGAACTAGAGCACAGGCCTGTCAATGTTTCATCTCAAAAGAAGAAAAACAAAAATGTCTATAAAATTCAAGCTTTGGGCACTTGTGATCTATACAGAACCAGCTTCTGCGTTTCAATCACTAAAACCAGAAATTTCCACCAAACAGTTTAGGTTAAGGCAGTTTAAGTTCCAGTGCTTAAACTGCCTTAATGTACTGACACATCGAGATTGGAAGATCTCCTTCAGTCCACAGCTTATGGACGACCGGCGAGCCCAGAACATGAACTCAATGTGCCAAATGGTGAAGCTTTTTCTTTATAATAGTTTTCTATGGAAAAATAACGTTTAATTTCCAGGTTCATCTGGTTGCCTGTACATATTCAATCAATAAGGTGTATATTGAATTTGGCCTTTCTTACTACATTAGTACTTAGTACAAACGTGGTAAAAGTGCCTGGCGGTCGATGGGGAAAGCCGTGTATTGCCCTGCAGGCGGGCTTGCGACACGCGCACACTGAATTATGAGAAAATTAAAGTGTATTTTGACATTAGATGTATGTGCAATATCATTATAGGGGTCAGATGATCACATTATAGGCAGTGACACAGAAATCCTGACCAGCCCAATTGTTCACAAACATTTTCTCACAACTCTGCATTTTGTAATGGCTCAGTGATACATTTTCAGTTTTATAGTTGCTCTTCAAGGGACACAGAATGCTAATGAGTGTTGGTATGTTTTATAATGTTCTGCTTTTAATAGTGTTATGCTCTGTGTGTTTATCTGCTTTCAGGCTTGTTTTCTAGGGTTTGAGGTTTCGCTAAAGTGCCTGAACTACATTGCTCCAGACTGGTGACTTCACAATGACAACGGACGAGGGTTTTTTTAATTATTTAAATACATTGTTTTTTATGTAGCATTGTTTTCTGACAGCCTTTAAGGGGCAGAAAGAAAAAGGCATATTGGTTTATCTTTTCCTTGCCATTTGATTCAGAACAGATGTTGTGCCTTTACAGTCAAGTCTCTTACATTTCTAAGACACTCTCTTACAGTATGTCACGCTTATTACTTGAATGTATGTATGTATCATGAATGTTATCTTATTATGTTAATTATTTGCAATTTAATAATAGCAATACTGTTTAATTTAAATGGATGTAAAAGACTGGATGTTTAAAAAATGGTTTTTGCATTAAAACCATGTAATCTCACATGAGATTAATTTCTACTTGTATGTGTAAAAATAATATTAATTCTATAGACCTACTACTTAATGTCCAAACCACAGCCTTTGTACACAACAAACAATCATTCTTATATGGTACTTAGTTTACCACCTTACAAACAAGTCATGTAAACCACTGCAGAAATCAACCCTTCATTGTGCCTTGATCATATCATTTCTTAAAAATAAACCGCTGAAATTAAAAGCACCAGTATTCAGACTGCTAACTCAGTGCTCATGTGAAGCACCTTTGGTAGTGATTCCAGCCTCACACACCTGCAGATCTGGATGAAGAACGAGGATGTCGTATGCACCGCTCCGAAACACACAGGTTGAGGATCCAAACGCAGCGTTTATCAAAAGGGTAATCCACAATCCTAATCCTAATCCAGGCAGCGGTCATACACACGCAATCCAAACAGTAACTGAGTGCAGGGATGAGGCAACAGAGCAATCTGAAGGAGCAGAGGACCCAGAGACGAGCAATCTGAAGGAGCAGAGGACCCAGAGACGAGCAATCTGAAGGAGCAGAGGACCCAGAGACGAGCAATCTGAAGGAGCAGAGGACCCAGAGAGAGGAAAAGGGTGTTGCTTATAATCAATATTTAATTACAAACAAAGTTAAGGAGGTATCATTCAAAATTATACATAGAATTTACCCAGTTAAACATTACTTTGTGAAATTTAAAAGCGATATTGATTTTAATTGCACTTTTTGTGACAGTTGCCGTGAAACTGTGGTTCATTCATTTATCCTTCCTGTACGCAGGAGTGATGAGATAGTTAGCAGATTGGCCTCACTCAATGGTTGGCTGTCTGAGTGGTGTCCGCAGAATAATATAGAATTCATAGACAATTGGAAAAGTTTTTGGGGCAAGCCTGACCTGTTGAAAAGAGATGGTATCCATCCCTCCTGGGCTGGTGCTGCTCTTCTCTCTAGTAATTTGGCTCATAGTCTTAGAGCTAAAACATGACAATCTGGGGCTCAGGTCAGGAAGCAGACAGACTGGCTAAACCGACCGTCTGCTAGCGGCCTCACGTCACCAAGGTCAGATAAATCCCATCACATAGAGCCTCTTTCACCTAGATATCATCATATAGAGACTGTGTCTGTTCCCCGAATTTGGAAATCCAAAAAACGTCAGGTTAAAAATTTAATTGATGTTCAACAAATAAAAAACAGATATAATACAGATGAGCAAATGATAAAGCTTGGGTTGCTGAATATTCGATCCCTTACTTCAAAATCTCTCATAGTTAATGATATGATTTCAGATTATAATCTAGATGTGCTGTGTTTGACAGAAACCTGGCTAAAAACCAAACGATTATATTACTTTAAATGAGTCAACCCCACAAGATTACAGTTATAAACATGAACCTCGTCTGAAAGGCAAAGGGGGAGGTGTTGCTGTAATTTATAGTAATATTTTCAAAACCACTAAGAAATCTAGTTTTAAATATACTTCTTTTGAAGTGTTGGTTCTTAATGTAAAAATATATAGTGTAAACGATAAATCACATTTGAGAATTCTGCTGGCTACTGTATACAGGCCACCAGGGCACCATAAAGATTTTATCAAAGAATTTGCGGACTTTCTATCAGAATTAGTATTGGCTGCAGATAAAAAAAATTGTTGGTGATTTTAATATACATGTAGATAATGAAAAAGATGCATTGGGATTGGCATTTAAAGACATTGTAAACTCAATTGGAGTTAGACAACACGTGTCAGGACCTACTCATTGTCGTAATCATACTCTAGATCCAATACTATCACATGGAATAGATGTTGATGCCGTTGAAATTCTGCAGCAGAGCGATGACATCTCAGATCATTATCTAGTCTCATGTAAATTACATTTAGCCAAGGCTGCAAAGCCAACTCTGTGTTATAAATATGTTAGATCTATAACTTCTGCCACTAAAGATTGATTTAACAATAATCTTCCTAATCAGTTTCATCATCTCAGCATCCCGGATAGCTTAGAAGAACTTGATATTGCAACAGAAACTTTTAACTCTCTCTTTTCCAGCACTTTAGACGCAGTTGCTCCGTTGCGCTTAAAGAAGATTAAAGAAAATAGTCCAACGCCGTGGTACAGCGAGCACACCCAGGCCCTTAAGAAATCAGCCAGAAAAATGGAGCGCAACTGGAAGAAAACTAAACTAGAGGTATTTCGGATTTCATGGAAAGAGAGCTCGATTGCTTACAGAGAGGCTTTAAAAGCTGCTAGATCTGCTTATTTTTCAACCCTATTAGAAGAAAATAAACATAATCCAAGGTATTTATTTGAAACAGTGGCTAAACTAACGAAAAAGAAAGCTTCAACCCCAGAAGTGTCCAAGCAACACAGCAGTGATGACTTTATGAACTTCTTCACTTATAAGATTGATAATATCAGGGACAAAATTTTAACTATGCAACCGTCTACCACAGTATCGCATCAGGAAGTGCATTGTAGTCTCCCTGAGGAAAAATTTGATTCATTTGTTGCTATAGGAGAGGAAGAATTCTGCAAACTCGTTAATTCATCTAAATCGACAACATGTATGTTAGACCCTATACCGACTAAGCTACTGAAAGAGATGTTTCCAGAGGTCATATATCCTCTTCTTAATATCATTAATTCATCTTTGTCTCTAGGATACGTACCAAAAACCTTTAAACTGGCTATGATAAAACCGCTTGTTAAAAAACCACAACTTGATCCTACAGAATTAGTCAATTACAGGCCGATCTCGAATCTGCCTTTTCTGTCAAAGATATTAGAAAAAGACAGTATCCTCACAACTGTGTTCCTTTCTAGAAAGAAATGATATCTGCGAGGATTTTCAGTCCGGATTTAGACCGTACCATAGTACTGAGACAGCTCTCTTTAGAGTCACAAATGATTTGCTCCTATCATCCGATCGTGGTTGTATCTCTCTATTAGTGTTACTTGATCTTAGTGCTCCATTTGACACAATTGACCACAACATTCTTTTAAATAGACTAGAAAACTATGTTGGCATTAGTGGAATTGCACTAGCATGGTTTAAATCATACTTAACTGACCGTTATCAGTTTGTAGCAGTAAATGAAGAGATGTCTTATCGATCACAAGTTCAGTATGGTGTACCACAAGGCTCAGTACTAGGACCGCTGCTGTTCACTCTGTACATGCTACCATTAGGAGATATCATTAGGGAACATGGAATTAGTTTTCACTGTTATGCCGATGATACTCAGGTCTATATTTCTTCACGCCCCGACGAAACTTACCAATTCACAAAATTAACGGAATGCATAGCTGATATAAAAAATTGGATGACTAGTAATTTCCTACTACTAAATTCTGAAAAGACAGAGATTCTAATTATTGGACAAAAAACTTCCACACGTAATAACCTAGAATACTGTCTAACACTTGATGGCTGCTCTGTTAAGTCCTCGTCGTCGGTTAGGAACCTGGGTGTGTGTGTGTGTGTGTGCTCTTTGATACCAACCTTTCTTTTGAAAGCCACGTGTCTAGTATCTGTAAAACTGCATTTTTCCATCTTAAAAACATATCTAAAATACGCCATATGCTCTCATTGGGAAATGCGGAACAATTAGTTCATGCGTTCATGACCTCAAGGCTAGATTATTGTAATGCTCTACTGGGTGGTTGCCCTGCATGCTTAATAAATAAACTACAGCTAGTTCAAAACGCAGCAGCTCGAGTTCTTACCAGAACCAGGAAATGTGACCATATTAGCCCGGTTCTGTCAAGACTGCATTGGCTCCCTATTAAACATCGTATAAATTTTAAAATATTGTTGATTACTTACAAAGCACTAAATGGTTTAGCTCCGCAGTACTTGAGCGAGCTCTTAACGCATTATAGTCCTTCACGTATATTGCGATCTCTAAACTCCGGCCAGTTGATAATACCTAGAATATCTAAATCGACTGCTGGCGGTAGATCCTTTTCCTATTTAGAACCAAAACTTTGGAACAGTCTTCCTACCATTGTCCGGGAAGCAGACACACTCTGTCAGTTCAAAGCTAGACTAAAAACACACCTCTTTGACCTAGCATACACATAATACATTATAGACTTCTATAATTCAATGTTAGGCTGCATAGATTAGGTCAGCCGGAACTGGGAACACTTCCCTTAAATCTTGATGTACTCGCTACATCATAAGAAGAATGGCATCTACGCTAATATTAGTGTCTTTGTTTATCCCGAGGTTTTCCCGCAGCCTGCCGGATCCAGGCCGTATCCAGATCTGACGAAGGAGATTCGCCTGGACCCGATGACAATGCAGTGCTGAAGTGTCAACTATCCTCTCCCTATGGAGGATCCCTTTCCCACTCTACAGATAAAGCGTTGTTGAAAATCCGGTTCGCGTACCCCGAAGTGATAAAATAAAACAAAATTCTGTATCAAAATTTATAGGCAAGACAAGTAGTTTGTTTAGGCATGGGTTGTATGGAATTACAAACCTGCGCACATATTTTCAAAAGCACATAACTATAGAATCAATTCTGAATGTGCATGTGAACGCCGTCAGCGTTAATCACAGGTTCGTGTTTAAAGTCTGATCATTTCGACGGAGGTGAATCAATCAAAATTAACTTTAGCTGGAAATAACATTATTCAAGAACCGCTATAAAGCCAAACCAATCTCTGTTACCTTAAATTATATGTTTATCTCTGTAAAGCTGCTTTGAAACAATCCATTGTTAAAAGCGCTATATAAATGAAGATGACTTGACTTGACTTGACACTGCCCATTTGTAAGATCATTTTGGCAAAATGTTTGTGATTTTATCACATAGAACATTGATGGCCAATTTGTGTTGTTTTGGAAACATTTATTATTTGGTCTTTTGGAGAACTATAGAGACAAGCTCAGGTTTATATAATACATTTTATTATTTTAATGGCACCATTCCATTACAAATGTAAATGTTCCTGTAAAAAACATAATGTAAGAAAGAAATTGAGCTTTATATTTACTCAATTCGATTTTCTATTATGCAAAAAGCAGTTAAAACTTAGAACATTTTTAAATGTTTCAATGTGTTTATGTACATGAATCCCCCTAGTGTGCAACTCTGTACATTTGTTGTAGTTTCCTGTATACTGTAGTATTTGTAACATACTCTTCTTTTCTGTTAATAAAAAAATAAAATAAATGCCCTTCAGTAGTCCTGCGACACTATTTTCGTCCTCCTAACCTAATACATAGACTGTGACCTAATACGGTTAGAATAGATCCCTCAAGGCCAAGGAAACCAATAACGACTACAAAACTACACCTCCCACGATCCCTCACGGTGGAATAGTGTTTCCGGTTCCGCTGCGTTTTTGGCCATCGGCTGACGGGACAGAAGAAGAAGGTGGGAAGAATACAACTAACTAACCTTACATTTTACAATAAATCAACCTCACGTTACAATTAACTTTGTTATTACAGAAAATCTCAAAACAAAGAACTACACCCATAACGATACACAGTGCTGTTATCTTGTTTACATTAAGTTACACGTTTCAGTTTAAAATGAGGAAGTTTCTCATGTTTTGTCTTTAGCATCCAACATTCATTTATGTAATATTTTGTCGCTGTGTTTTGTGTATTTGCTATTACTACACACACTATTTCTCAAGATTGTGTAATTTGCATTAACGGCTGCTTCTGTATTTTTAGTTGGACAAATGCTTAAACAGAAGCAAATATATATTCAGCAACTGAACTGCACAGAGATGTACATTCCTGACAGACCCTTTCAGCTGTTAAAGCCTGCTGTGTGTGTGTGTTGTGTCAGTGTGTGTGTGTGTGCTGTGAGATGCCCTTGGAGGTGGCCTGGCCCTTCCCACAATGCCCTCGCCTGGGCTGGAGGCTCTCCAGCAGGGTCATCACGGGGATGGTGGGCTCCTACAGTTACCTCTGGACCAGTGAGGCCAATGTTTCTCCACACTTGTATTTTGAATAATGTGTGCTATGAACTTAAGGCAGATGTAACTGAATGACTTCTCTGAATTTGCCTGACACTAGAGTATTTCAACTCTCTGATGGTGCACAACCCGGGTGTGTTGCTGGACCTGGTGGACGAGCGTCCTCGGGACACGCCACTCATCACCCTGTGCAATCACCAGTCCTGTATGGACGACCCGCACCTCTGGGGTAGGCGAGCCTCGGATGCTGGTGTTGTGGAGCACGCTCACACTCGCTGCAGACACTGACGCGCATGTGCTGTTTTTCAGGAGTCCTGAAGCTCCGGCAGCTGTGGAACTGCAACAGGATGAGATGGTGTGTGTGAAGGAAGGCCGGATCTGGAGACTCGTGTACAGGTGTTGTCAGTTCATATCATGTCATCTGGTGTGTGTGTGTGTGTGTGTGTGTGTGTGTGTCCAGGGCACCTGCTGCCTCTGATATCTGTTTCACGAGAGAGTTCCACTCCCGCTTCTTCAGCAGAGGGAAATGTGTGCCTGTTGTTCGAGGTAAACTCATCTAATGACACATCTGATCATTTCTGCAGTCTGCTTTTATTTCACACAGGTTTTAGACTAAAAAAAAATTATACTGAATCAAAATTCAGTCAATAATGCATTTTTATTTGCAAGTAATCTTATTTGCATGCTACACTGAAAACACTGATCCTGTGGGCTGTCTGAAATAGGGGTGTGCAGCGGAGCCCAAACCTGATCTCAATATATCCAGAAGTGGCCGGGGATTTGACCCCAAGGTCACAAGGTCAGGAAATGACCGAGTTTTCATTTAACAAATATGCCTTTTATAACTAATAAAAATATTTTTTTATTATAATTGCAAATTTTCTTTTTTTTATGTCTTCAAATTAAATCAATAATACTAAATGTTAAATAAAAGAAGATATACATATATATGTTTTTTTAATTTTCTAGACAAACTCTGTGAGTTATGTTAGGATAATCATCCATAACCTCAAACAAAAATTTCAATGGCTGAAAATGTCGACAAATCTAAAAACAACTTTGGTAACACTTTACAATAAGGTCTCATTTGTAAACATTACTAAATGCATTTATTAACACACCATGTCGTACAAGACATGTCAAGTAGAACGTGTGTATGATTCGGGATCTTAGTTGATATTACTCTCGTCAAGCTCTTGTTTCTGAGAGACGCACGGCAACAACGCAGATATTTGATTTCAGACTCATTTAATTTACTGTCATTCGTGTATCATATCATACATTAAATATACATATCAATTAGTAGAACATGTGTGTGATGTATTTGAGTTGATTTCTGAGATCATTGTGCTCATTTCATTCGTGAGGTTTGCACTCATTCACTTCACACACTCATTATTATAGCAGGGTGACTTTAGACTTGTATAACGCTATAATATTGTGCTGTCCTCTGGCTTACCTGCTGCTATCACAAGAAGAGTCAGATGAATGTTTCTATACTGTTATTCTGTTTTGAAGCCATTATCTGCCTTTCCACATAAGCTAGTCTGAAACATTTGACTGTGTTAAAAGCAGTATGCCTTGTATTGGAGGCAGGCACCTGTGTTTAGAAGTAGTCGGTTTGGAGAGAAAGTAAAGAGTAAGCTTAATCTCATCAGTGCAATACGATTAGAAGAAGAGTCATTTATCTCCACCTAATGACAGTCAAATATGATCAATCACAAAGACTTGCTAATAGTACAGTTCTCAGGGCTTTTTAAATCCAATTTATACAGAAGACCCTCGAGTTGATAACGGTTTTAAGGTATGTATTTTGATAATTGTAAAGCCCAACTGTCCTGTTTTTCAGGAGATGGAGTCTATCAGAAGGGAATGGATTTCCTGTTGGAAAAGCTGAATCAAGGGGAATGGGTACATATATTCCCAGAGGGTACAGACACTCATATTTTAACCTTAATATGTGTTTAGTGTACGACTTTCCTAATGTCTTAGGAAATATGGTACGTTTTCTCCTCCCAGGTAAAGTGAACATGACTGGAGACTTCATGAGGATAAAATGGGGTAAGATTTATGCTCCAATATCTAGATACCTCTTGTTTCACCCTTATGTTTAATTAAGTAAATCCTTGTTTCTGTACAGGAATTGGACGTTTGATTGCAGAGTGCTCTCTTCACCCAATCATTTTACCTATGTGGCATATAGGTAAGTTATGCACGTACAAGTTCAAGGGCCAGATTTACTGAACCGGGCAAATTAGCGTGAGAGAGCAATTCCCCAAAAGCGCCGATGGGAGTGGCTCTGCACGTGATCTACTGACGACACGCACATTAAAGAACACAGACGCCGTCAAATCATTTACATAACGACCAACGCAAACCACCAAGAGCAGCGCAAGCTAGCGCCGGGACCACGGGTAACGCAGGGGAACATGTTACCCGTGGTCCCGGCGCTAGCTTGCGCTGCTCTTGGTGGTTTGCGTTGGTCGTTATGTAAATGATTTGACTGCGTCTGTGTTCTTTAATGTGTTCTTTAATGTTCTTAAAGTTCTGTGTTCTTTAATGTTCTTAAATTCACAGTCCGCATGTTCCCCTGCGTTACCCGTGGGGGTAACGCAGGGGAACATGCGGACTGTGAATCCCAGCTAAAGAAGACACAGCACGTTGCAGCCATGTTGCAAAATGGGTTAAGACATGCTTTTTTGGGGCGTTAAATAATGGTGCAAACACCAGTACACCGACTAGCGGGGATTAAAGTTCTCCGTCGCTACGACGGATTTCCGTTAATTGCAGGGTTCCGGTCTGTCCTTAATGTCTTAAATTCACTTTTCATAATTTTAAAGCCGTAAATAGGCTTTCATTTCTCAAATGGTGTAATAAATGTCTTAATTATAGTTTGAATAGGTCTTAAATTAAGGAAAGACGAGGTGTGTTCACCCTGCTGAGGGGATGTGATAAAGCCTGGAGTAAAGCCTCGTTCTGTAATCACTCCGCTCATGGTCCACTCCGGGTTTTACATTCCCGCTCACGGAAATACTGCTCCGTGTTCACTCAATTAATCTTAGTTTTGGGGAAGTGCATGTCAGGCTACAGCTGAGCGCTGAGGTAGAACTATATTCCAGTTACCATGGACACACTTATAATGCAGGAAGTCTCCGATGTATCGGAGATCGATAAGTGTAAAAATAAATGGAGATGGGCTTGGCTTAGCGAAATGGGGGAGTCCGAATGGGGGCTTTCTGTTAATTAAGAGTTTCACAAAACATTGTTTGGTCTTATAAGATAAATAAAAACATGCACTGAAAAGTTATGTAGATGGTTGATTATTTGTCAAGCTAAGTACATTTTTTTCATAGATTAAAATAGCTTTTAGAATACGCAAACTGGCAATATTAAAGCGGTTTGAAACATCTCCCCTTAAAACGCTATTGGTCTCGACTAGTTAAAGGAATATGACTAGGCCTGAAAAAAAATTTCAGTCAGAAGAATTTTTTTTACTTTAATCCCTGGACTAGCGCAAACACCAGTAAATCACCTTGCGTGATCATTTAAATACTGAGTCTGAAAGGGAAACTCCTACAAATGCATATGCAATCAGGTCAGCCGCAAGAATAACCCTGTCCACCCTTTTCAACACTCATTTTACACTGCGTGTCTTCAGTAAATCCTGACAGTAGTGTAACGCCAAAAGAGGGTTTGCGCTGGAGCGAGCGGTCAGTGAATCTGGCCTTGAGTGGCGTAAGATGATCCATAACTTCATGAATGATGAGCTGTTCCTTACTTGTGGACCTTTTTGTTCAGGTCTGAATGATGTCCTGCCAAATCAAGCTCCATACATTCCTCGAGTGGGACAGGTTAATACACATTCACATGTCATATCACTTATCTTCCATTGTCACACAGTTTTGACTCTACCTTCGTTGTGTGCAGCGAATAACTGTTCTCGTTGGAAAACCCTTCACAGTCAGACATCTGGTGAACGCGCTGAGAGCGGAAAACACCAGTCCGGTAGGTCATGTGACAGTCAGAGGTCATGTGACACTGAGATGTGAGTGATGTGCTGAGTGTTTCAAACTGATAGTCTTGCAGTTGAGAACAGCATTGGTTTCCTTACAGATGGAAATGCGGAAAACGGTGACAGACTTTATTCAGGGGGAATTCCTCGGTTTGAAAGCCCAGGCGGAAGCTCTTCATCACAGGATACAGAACTGCACATAACGGTGAGGAACTCGTCTCCGGACACATCGCCCTTCAGCTAACCCTGGCCTTACCACTCTAGAGCATACACACAGAGCAGGAGATACACGCCCAGAGGTTCACGTGATGTGTGTCAGGAGTATTATATCCATGATGAAGTGGCAGAGAGGTAAAAGCGTGGACAGTCAGATATGAGCTGAAGGAAAGTCTTCTGTTGCTGTAAATGAGCGGTGACTTTAAGCCATGTTCAAGACCTCAGGACACACACAGTGTGTGATATGCCTTTAGACTGCGGAGCACGACGTGTTGCATTCTCCCACAGTCTTTGATTTCTACTTAATTCTACAGAATACTTTCAGAAAAACTTAGGATGAGGAAAGTAGCTCTTTTAATAGTAACGCATGTCATTTGTTTAAATTTTCTTAAATATCTGAACATGTTAAATTGGTTTGTATGCTCATTTGTCATAGCTGGATCAGTAATTGTCATGACAGACATATTAACAATGTTCAATTCTTGATTACTGTGGGAATGCTGAAGGATTTAGTAAACCTTTTTAATGACAGATTGAGAATCAAGATGACAGTAGTAGCCGTTACGAGTTCTTATATTTGGTGCAGTATTTGACTCTGTAAACATAATTCTGACTGAACACAGAAGTGTACTGAGTTATTTCCCAATGCACACATATGCATCTTATTTGCCTAAATCATATGATGGAATGAGAGTTGATCAGAAGCATGTGAGAGTTGATCATATTTTGTTAAATACATTTTAGGGATAAATAGAGATTTGATATTGTTCAAAAGTAAAATAAAAAGATAAAACTGGCTACACTGTCATGTTTATTATCATGTGTTTAAGGTGTTTTCCTACGACGACTTCTCAGTCTTAAACAATGAAAGGAGATGAAAACGTGACTGGACTAAATATCTCCATGAAAGACTCTCCTTTCACTGCTTATCTGCCAGTGGCACAGGCAGGATTCATTCATTTGATAAAATAGTCTGATCTATGAGGCAGAAAATATGACAACAATTGATTCAATCCGCTTCAATGAAGCGAACTTCCAGACACTAGTAGCGTAGTATTTCAAAGTAATATTTATTATAAATATTCACACCGATTGGTGTGAAATGTGAACTTCATTTATTCAGGTGACTGTGCAGGACAGTGTCATTCAATTCATATTTATTTGTATAGCGCTTTTCATAATACACATCATTTCAAAGCAGCTTTACAGAAAATGCAGAGTCCACATTACAGTTTAAGTGATCTGTTATCAGAGGTATGGATATTATTTTTTTGCCATACTGCGTTTTTCCTCGTGACGCAAGAGCGCTGTGTCCCTTTGAAAATTACATGTGTCTGGCTTCCGCTTTCATCAGTGAAGGTTTCATGAAGTCTCGCACATTCACACTGGAAATATGTAAGTATAAGTGTGCAAGTCATTGAACTCAAAATGAGAACTGAAAAAATCCATAAATATCAAAGAAAATTAAAAATAAATCTCAAAACAACATACAGGCAGTAACAAATAACAGCAAAAAGAAACAGATATATAAAAAGGAGAAGGGGGAATAAATAATTAAAAAAAAAAAAAGTTTATTGTTTTTAGACAATACGCTGAGTTTGGGACAAGGGATGATGCTGAAATTATATGACATGATAAGGTACATTTTTTGGTTATTCTATAGATAAGTTTATACAAATGTAAGTCATTACACTGGAAAAATATGACCTAATACATGCTATTTGTACATCAAAGTGGTGCTGTTGTTGAGGGGTAATGATTAATAAATAGACATAACATACAGTATAGCAAGTGCTCTTTCACTTACAAGAGTTCAAAATCCTGAAATAACACTTTGAATGAATTTTATCTAACCTTATTAAATATGTATGTCATCTTTAATGTTAAATTCTTAAATTTACTCAAATTAGAATAAAATGACACTATAGGCTGTTACCAATTAAATCTGCATCAACCAAAGCCATTTTTACACTGCAGCACTACACTTAATACTCTATATTAATGGAATTTAACTCAGAATATTGTCTAAAACAAAAGTTTTATTGCTGCATATTTACACTGAAACTGATGCTGGTCTGTGCTTCACTACAATGTAAATGTATTCACTTGCAAAAACCCTCACGTGACTGCCTCAACAAATCATGTGATTGAATAACTGCTAACCAGCGGACCAATCTCAGTGCACTCTCATTATTTCAACATGGGAAATAAAATATTGTCTTTAAAATATATAGATAAAACAGCAATCTGTGGAATTCAGCTCAAAGATGTAATTAATTATTTGGGCGTAAGTGTCTTTCAGTTTAAATTCGGTTCTTACAGAAATTAATTTAAATCCTAATAAAGATGTGATTAAAAAGAAGTTCAATTCTTGGCTGGCGAGAGATTTGTCTCTTCCTGGTCGAGTGTTATTATCGAAGTTTCTCATCTCTCTTATCTCGGTTTGGTTCCTGTTTCCTTGGGTTCTGATTATGCCCCTGATTGTTTCTATGGTTACTCATATTTATCAGCTGTGTCTTATTTAGTTCATTGTTATCTCTTGCTTATATACTCCCTGTTCAGTATGTAATGTGTTGTTTATTTTCATTTTCCTAATGTATTTTTCTAACAATTTCCTGCGTTCATCAAGACTGTTTAAAATACTCCTGGTTTGAGCGTGTTGCTTATGACACATTACAGAATAACGGACCTAAAAAGAGAAAAGAAATGGACATACTAGCCCTGCGTTTCCTCTGACCGGAGGAACGGAGCTCCCGGGGTGCGCAGCAGTTCCCCTATCACCACCAAGTCAGGGGAGAGTCTAGATGACACAATCCCTGCTGACACTTCAGGGATGCGCTGTGGTCGTGTCTATGCGCAGGTCAGCGAGGCAGAGAAGGAGCCCGAGACCTAGCACTAGAGCCTGACACCTGGGACGTCCCGGAGTCGAATGGCTGTCCAGTCTATCCCAGAGCTCGGAGCGGACCGCTGCCTTATAGACCTGTGGTCCGTGGATCCAGTTCCCTCCAGAGTACCCACCCTCGAATCAACGCCTTCTCCGCCGGTCCCGTCCGGCTATCTTGATTCTCCGGTCCTGTATGGAGATCTGCCTGCTCCCATGTTCCCGCCCAACGTCCTGGTCCCATCTCCTTTGCTGTTACTCCAGTCCCCTGGAGTCCTTGGCTCCACTGGTGTCGTCCAACTCTGCCCACCACTAACTCCTCACGGCTCTTCGGCTCCGTCTCGGGCTCGGCATGAGGTTGAGTCCCGGCTTCACCGCAGGCCTCCAGCTCGACCTGTCAGCCCGTCGCCTCCGCCCCGGCTCTGCGTTCCCTCTCCTCCGCTGTGGACCATCAGCTCTGGGACTCCTCCTCGTCCCTCCGGCTCGGCCTCTGTCAGTCGGCGCTCTGCCTCGGACTTCTGGGTCTCTGGCTGCACCTTTGGCTTCTCCTTCCCTGTCGTCCTCACTCCCTTCGCCCTCGCCCCGGTCCCGCGAGCCAGCAGCTCCACCTTGGGCTTCGGGACGTGGATGTCACCCTGGTCCATCGGGCGCTCTGCCGGTTTCTCCATACGCTTCGGCTACGCCTCCATCAGTCGGTCCCCGGGTTCCTCCGAGCGTTCTGCCGAAGCTCTACCCTGCTCCTCCCGCTGCCGGCTCCCCCGTGGTGTCTCCCTCCACGACGACTCCTCATCCCTGTCCATCACCAGCCCTGCGCCCTCCTCCCTCCCTCTCTCCACTGTAGGATGCTCAGTTACGGCGTGAGGAGGGGGGACTACTGTCACGCTCTTGGACTCCTAGGCCCTGTCCCAAATGGCACCGTAAACACTCACGGTCTTCCTATGAGTCCGCACTCTCGTGACGTAACGCCGCTTTGACTGTCGGGAAGAAGTCTGCTGTAGAGCTTCCTTCAGTGCGGCTCGGCAAAAGTGCGCATCGAGGGCACATATCGACCTCAAACGGGCACCCTGAAACCTAAAATGACAAATGGGAATCCCTTCAGTCTCATGGACTTAATGGAAGCGTGCACACGGCAGCCATTGTAAGTCCACAAGACCGAAAGTGCATATGAAGTGTGTAATTTGGCACAGGGCCTTATTTTGATATTCTGCTGGGTTTCCCTTAAGCCGGGGACACACTTGACGTCTGTAAGGCCGATTATGAATGGAATTTGCTACTTACGACTGATCAAACCCGCCGAGTCAGAGACGGTTGCATTCAGTCGGTGTTCAAAATCTGCTCCAGTCGTTGGAAACAGTGTGTTCAGTTCAGTCTCAGGGTGTTTCAGCTAGTCGTTAAGTGTGTCCCCGGCATTAGTTCCTGTTTCTCTGCTCTGTTTAGTTTCGGTATCCTTGGTTACACATTATGTCCTTGTTTGTTTCTATGGTTACTTATAATTATCAGCTGTGTTTTATAGTTAATTGTTATCTTCTGCATATACAGTATATTCCCTGTTCAGTTCAGTCCTCAGTCGGTTATTGTCTGTATGTAATATGTTGTTTATTTCCTGTTCTTCAACCGATTTCCTGCGCAGATCATTATAGACTGTTTACAATATTCTTAGTGTTAGTGTGTTGCTTAGAACACACTACAAAAAGGATGTTCTAAGAAATAAGATTAGTGATGGGGGTCTTGGAGTTGCAGACTTTACCCTATTTAACCATGTGTTAAAAGTAAATGGTTAAAAAGTTTCATTAAAAAAAAACAGACTCTAAATTAAATAATATCTTTTATTAGGGCCCGAGCACCGATGGTGTGAGCCTGTGGGTACCCTATTGGAATTGCTCTGTTTATTATTATTTATAAAATGGATTTTGGGGCTTCATTAAAAGAGTATAATATTGTATTTGACACCATTCCTAGTGGTATAAAAACTCTCTGTAGTCCTATTTCTATGTGTAACACTTCTATTTCAATTGAAGGAATTTTGATTACTGTTGACTAATTCAATAACCACTTTGTTCGCTATCATATCAATAGAAAATCTATTCCAGCATCTTCTTTTAAATGGATGGCGATGGCGCTATGTAATGTGAACTGGAATTTGGTCTGGTCTCTTCCACACAAATATTTATTAACAAAGATAAAAGAAGTCACATTTAAAATATTACATAGATGTTACCCTTGTAATATTATACTCAAAATATATATTTATATATATATATATTTCTATATCACAGAAAGTGGTATATATATATTTATATATTTTAATAGTGTTATATATATATTTCTATATCACAGAAAGTGTGTATATATATATATATATATATATATATATATATATATATATATAACACTTTCTGTGATATTTTTCTTGTGAATGTGTTTGTGTTAAAGCTTTTTGGAACGAGTTATAACTATCTCTCAGAAAAAAACCCCAAATGTCAGAATAGCCTATGTATAAACACTTTTAATATTATTTTTCTTTATCACAACTCAAATTCTCGTATTCAGTACATTGTTCATCTTTTTATTCAGTAGGCTACATTGTTCATCAATATATACTTGCCATTTTTTATAGCCTACACAAATGCAATTTTTTGTGTAAGAACCTGATACTCTCAATCTTTCTGGTAGAATACAATTCCTATGTTTTGTCTTTGATAGGCATAAAAAAACAAAAAAAATCGTTGAAAAGTCAAAAATTACTTTCAATGTTTATCCTTGTATAACTTTTTTTCACTCTGGCATTTTATTTATTTTATTTGTATTCTTTTTTATTATATATGTCTTATTTTCTACTGTTCTTGGTCGATTTCGTATACTTTTCACAGTTTCGTGTAAGTATTTTGGCATTAATAAAAAAGAAAGAAGAAAAAAAGAAGAATGGATGACGACACGGTTTGATCTTTGGTTAACCAATCAGCGGAAGGGAACGTCACGGCTCATCCCGCTGAAGATGGCCGCTGTGACGTAATAGCTCATCGCACTCAAGATGGCCGCTATGAGGACGGTCTCCGGGAACGCTAGGATGATTTTATATCTTTTTATCTGTGTGTTCGCAGCAGCGAAGAGCGACGAGCAAGTGCCCCTGGTCGCATGGGCGAGTGACGGGTAAAGGACTGATATGATATGACATTAGTCATGGAGAATTGACTGGAATAGTTAGCTTTGGCAGTTTGCTAGCTGAATGACACGGTCGCTGTCCAGTACTGAAAACCCGTCTGAGCAAACAATATGTGTTAATTCTCGAACAAAACCCACATATTGTGTAATCTAACTCATATTTATCAACAGACGTAATCGTGTTTACATTAGTGTCGAGCGGTGATGGCTGTCTCAAGCCCAGTAACCTGTCAAGACAACCTTTGACCGTCATTGATGTCTATAAGCAGTTCACTGTTATCATCTGCCTGAAGCCGATGTTTGCGTTGTTTGTAAAAGTTCTAATCATGACTGTAATTTTATGGGTTCGTCTTTTTGTATGATGTGTTGTGCGTGTGCAGGTTTGTCTTGTCTCCCGTGAATGCTCCATCATCAGGTCACACTGTGTCTGTGGATGAGCTGGAGTCATTCCTGAACCGAGCGCTGAGCACTTCACCTCATAATCTACTGCTCTTCCTGCAGGATAAAGTACAGCACACACATTTACACCTATTAGGCTATATTTCCAAACATTTCTTCTGCAAATATAATAATAATCCAGCTGTGAGATTTTTGATTGAATAAGGAGTCCTATAACAGATGTCTGTTACTGCATTCATAAAACACTCATTGTGTTTCCACATGTTTATAAAGGAACAAACTAAACCAGAACTACAAAAAAGATCACTATATCACCCATGATAGATATACATTTCTAAACGCTTTACCATGAGAAACTGTCAGAAGAAGACAATAAATTAATGTTCAGTTTTTATAAAGACAACAATCTGAAGTGATTTATTGGGAAATTCTATTGTGAAATGTATAACTCAAATGACACATGAACCCATTGTTGCTAAATCCACCACTGGCATTAGGCTAGTTCAGGCAGTGTCGATCTTACGGTTTGAATTCCCTCTTGTGTTTGATTCAGTTGAGTGTTGATGACTTCACAATGTACGGAGGAGTGTTCGGGAACAAACAGGATAGTGTCTTCCAGAATCTGGAGGTATGCTGATGTGTTCTCCATCTGTTACTGCTTTTGATATTTATTACTGCTTATGATTATGACTTCAGTTAACTGACAGGAGGCTGTTTTTGTAAGTGCTATCAACTGAGATTGGTGCCAGCCAATATAATTCTTCAAAAATGTATTAGGAAACTAATTACTAATGTTTTGTGAAGCCAAGATATACTCTTTATAATACATCAGTGTATTATTTCAGATAAATCACCTTGAAAAGTGCTTGTTAGCCCAAACATGAATAAGCATCTCGGGTGTTTGTTGGTGTCCGCAGGCGTCTCTGCTGTCTTCCTCCTCCCTATGGCTGCCGTGTGTGTCGTCGTCCGCCACGGCTCTGGTGTCTACACTGCTCCAGAACCAGATCGATGCGGCTCCGCTCTACATGAACCCGGACACGCTTGCTCAGCTCCGACTCAACGCATCAGTGGCGGCCCTGCTGGTGTTCCGGCTCCCTTACAGCAGTGGGTACGGCAATCTCTTCCGGCTCACAATACAGTACTAGCTAACTCTGATTCGCTTTTTTAAACATTATTCGAAACAAATCATTATGCAGTGGGAAACATTTCAAACAGTACTGTCACACTATCACATGACCTCACTCATGCAAGTACGAGTTCCTTCCAGTTATCATCTCCAAAAAATAGTAATTTTACATATTTAGTTAAGTGCAGGGTCACTACAGTGGTTCATGCTGTGGGAATGCTGAAATAGCTGAAGAAATATAAAAAATATGATGATACAGTATTAACAGATTTCTCATGTAGTACCCCTAGTGGTGGAAGAAAAAAAACGATGCATCGCGATTCTCTCTCCAACGATTCTGGATCGATTCTGAGCTTTTTCTTAACTGCAGATGCACGAAGACACTGCGTATGCTTTAGAAACACCCGTATTCTGCTTGCTTCCAATTCCACACACACACACACACACACACACACACACACACACACACACACACACACACACACACACACACACACACACACACACACACACACACACACACACACACACACACACACACACACACACACACACAAACCACTCGAACTTTCCAGAAATAATCTTTCACAAAGTTTGAAAAGGTTGAAGTGAATTACAAGGACATTCGCGGGCTTCATTGCACAGGATATGCGAGCTTTGCTTGATGTTACACAAAGGGTGTAAGTTGTCTTTTTCTTGCAGGGCTGATATGATGTCTACTAAAGAAGTGCTCAGTGGAAACGGTACGTGTAGTATTCAAACACCACTAAAACCCAAAAGTCTTGTGCTCCAACAGTTATTATGATTATTGTAGAAAAGCCCAGATGAAATGAATGTGATTGTGTTGTCTGTTGTAGATGAGGTGATGGGTCAGGTGCTGAGCATCATGAAGGCTCAGTCTGTGCCGTACACTGCAGTGTTCACTGCGCTGGGACCCTCGAGGGTAAGAGCTCAACAGCCCTGTGTACACACACACACACACACACACACACACACACACATTCAGCTAGGGCTGGGCAGTACCACCAAAACCTTGCATTAGAATACGAGTCGTTTTAAATAACGGCAACAGTATACAATGCAATATTGTTAATTTTAATGGAAATTCAACTGAAAAATATTTATATATGTTAAATAACCGAGAGGTGACAGAGGGGAACGCAGACAACATGAGGACTTTTGCTGTTCATTTGATTCTACCCCACCTTAAAATAACATTAAAACAGCATGTTTTTCTGACGGGCAGAATGCCTCTTCAAGAGTAAAAACAGGAAAATGCTAGTGCCGTAAAAGGTCAAATACTTGACATCCAATCAAATGATCTCATCTTTTGTGGTCAAAACTGCCTGCATCCACACGAGCAGCATGCATGTGATAGGTTGCATGCAGAGAGTATGATGCCTTGGCAAATTGCACTACATTACTGCCGTTCTCCACAATGTACATTTGTAAAAGTGGGGATTTAGCGCTTACTAGCATAAAGAACATAGACACAGATAAACCACTGACCTACATAAAATAGCCCTTTGATGGAATTCAGTTTTGAATCCAAAAACATTAATTTGTCAGCACAAGACTACCAAAGGATTTTAGCATTTAATGATATATTGGTTTTAAACCATATAAAGATGGATGATATAAATGTACTCCACTGCCTGGCTGATCGTGTGCAGCTGCATGAGCACAGGTGACACATCCGACAAGCAGAGTGTGTTTCTCTAGAGGACCACAGTGTGTGCAGTGGCCACATCTGTTGAAACATGCACCATTTCTTCACGTTTGCACCAGGAGGTTGTGTGCTGGTGTGAGCACAGTGAGCTGGAGGTGTCTTGTGTGTGTCTCAGGTGATCGAGGAGTCTCCAGCTGTGCACTCGGTCTGGTCCCGCTCCCTCCTGCAGTCCCGTCGTGAGGATCCCCCCGCCCCCAACCCGCCGCTGGAGTTTAAGGAGAAGGGCTCCGTCTGCATCCTCCTGTGGGCCGAGACAGTGGTGGTCAGCCAGTACCGCTCAGGGAAGTGGGAGAGGCATGACCTCACCTCCAAGACCTTCGGGAGAGGCGTGACACCCGACCTGTCCGGATCCTCCTGCAACGAGTCCCACTCTCGGTAAATACTGCCCAGCTGCTCCTTGGGGTTAGTTTAAAGACCCCCTGTGGTGAAGATCAAGTTTTTAATGTTTTTATATGTCTATGTGGTGTTTTTAATATGCTTTAAGACAAACCATGTGCAAATTCATCAGTCAACACCAAAAACGGTCTATGAAACCGCCCCATCACAAACTTGTAACCAAGTTGATGGGGTTTTCCTATCACTATTTGTAAGGATGCTGACTTTAGAAGGCTGTCTGACACTGAGGTGGCGAACGGGAACATGGATTATGTTTGATAACGTAGTCAGCAAAAGGCTAATCATGTCAACTACCGTTATGTGTCGACTTTTATTCAAATTCTGAATGAATAAGCACTCAGAGAGCGCTCCCTTTACAATCACTCAAAAGCTGTCACTCATCTCAGTTCGCAATCTCACAGTTTCATTATAATCAATGAAACTGTCTACACTACACAATTAATCTCTTATTTACATCTTCTCTACACTTTGTTAATGAGAGGATTCACAACTCTGTACTAAAACTCTGACTTTAGACCGCTGAGTGGATTCTGACTGAGTTAAACACTTCTGATTGGCCACTGGGTTCAAGAGATCCACAAACATATCAGTGATTGCTCACCACTGCAAAAAACATTGAGTTGAATTGAATGCCTTTATTGTCATTACATCACAGCTGTACAACGACATTCTTCAGTGCAACTTCTTGTGGTAAAATTAACACACAAGCACAATACAAAACACTGAGTAAAGGGAACACACAACATACAGCTCAACATAGCGGCAAGAAATAAGCAGTAGAAAGAATATTGCGCAATCCCATGTGTGTAAACAGGCCATGTATTACACAGTCCCATAAGCAATATATATTGCACAGTCCATACTCTGTTCATTGACTACTGGAGCATTCACTAAATCTGTCTTGACAATAGGATATTATTACATTATCGGGGGTGCTCTTGCTTTATTAAACTAATATTTCCCCTTGCCATTGTGCAGTGTTTACTACAGTAAAGTTGAGCGAGTGAGTGGAGGCGGGGACTGATTTACATATTCATGGATCTGCGTATACTGGAGGAAGCAAGGGTGTAGAGTTACATTCAAGATATTTTAAGTCATGAAGAAATTTTCACTTTTTTTTTTTAAAATAGATGAGTTTTAAAGAGTTTTAAGGGATAGATTATTCCCTGCAGGGGGAAGTTGAGTTAAAGGGACCATTTTATACAGAATTTTATTTTTTCCCTGAAATCAATTTTTTTATCGCGCGATTAGCGGTCTTTTTGGCCTAGCAAACTTTGCAGGTTTTTTCCACATGCTTTTGCAACAGGACGCGGCATGCGCGGCGCGGCACTATGAAACCCATTCATTTCAATGGCTTGCGCCGCGCGAGGACGTTTTGTTGCTTCGTTGACCAAAGCACAAGCGGATCTAGCTGGACCGGAAACAAAACAACAGGCACGACGCACACACTTGTTTGGGCTTGCGAGCCGGCCAAATAGTTGGTTAACGTTACGTTTTGAGTGGATGACGAGCGCGAGACGCCGAAATGGATGCCAATAAGATTCTGAATGGAAAGTTTACTTTTAAAAAGTTGCCAAATGGTTCCATTGACAAGAGCAAAGTGATCTGTGTGTTTTGTCGTTGTGAACTCAGCTATCATCATCGCAGCACGTCCAGTCTGAAATACCACTTGATGATGGCCAAGCACACACACACACACACACACACACACACAGCTGTTGCGAATCCTCCGCCCCCTCGTCAATATCAGGACCTCGTCAGTATTTCTTTCACCCTTTTATTGATGGACAGTGTTACATTGTGTGAGATTATTTGCTCCAAGTGAGAATGTTAGTGTGAAATTGAACACAGTATATGCCAATGTTGGTTTCAATAAAAAACATTTGCACAAAGCAAGCCGATCCACTTTTCCATGTTGATAAGAGCATTAAAATGAGAAAAAATAACGGGACAAAAAGAAATCAAGAGACATTTAGAATAGATAAAAATGTGCGAGTTAACTATGACATTAATGCGATTAATCGCGATTAAATATTTTAATCGTTTGACAGCACACATATATATATATATATATATATATATATATATATATATATATTAGTTATTATTTTGTTCAAGTGTAACTTTTTTGGTCCTGATGCAGGGTGATGTGAGGCGACGACATCACTTTCCTCGCTGCTAGTTATTTGATGTCAAAGTGTTTCCAGGTCATGAACCACAGTATCTCATCTGTGAATTTTCTCTTCACATATAGGTTGGTTCTGAATTATGAAGATGTCCTGGATTACCGTTCATTCAAGCTAATGTAAGTGTCTCATTTTCTCTTATTCACACACACACACACACACACACACACACACACACAGTGTATGGGCTTGAACGGTGTCCTGTATTCTCCTCAGTTTTGTAATGAACCGGCGCCACTATAAGGTGTCTGCCCGTCACTGGTTCACCATGGACCGGGTTCACCTGGAGTATGATGGGAAAAGGGCCTCGTTCAATGGCAGCCGCCACATCTACGCCCCGTCCGAGTACTCGTACCGCTGTGAGTCTGTGAGCAGCTCCTACTACCCTCAGCTGTCACCACACTCAGACAAGGACAACGCCAACGAGTGGCACATCTCTTTCGAGGACTTCCAGGTAGGTTCTGGAAAACTGCACTGGTTTGAACATGTTCCATAGTAAGTCCCTGTAAGCAGACCTTAGGCCCTGGATGCAGTGAGCAAGAGAAGACGTTTCTAATACTCGACTAAAACGGTTGAACATTAGTGTTCCCTCAGAGGCTGGAGACATTAGCGTTCACTTCGTCTATGTCTAGAAGAGTGTCTGTCTATGATACTCCAATAGTGCCCTGAGTTATCCCTGTTCAAATTCACCAGTGTATTTTAAAACTAAGTGCCAATGGAGGAGAGGACATTTAGGTAGCACTTTTGTGCGCAGTACTGTCATCATTACGACAGCAAAAATCTTCTATTACTACTTGGATGGTACACTTTTCAATTGCTTTAATTCATTGGAGTATATTTAGGTTTATAACGGGTCTGGTTCTCATCTTATTGACAAACAGGAATAACAGTTTGCGAGTAAAGGCCTGTTGACACCAAGAAGGATAACTGTAAAGATAACTGTATTAGCATCCACACCAGCTCTGTTTATTCTACGTGTGTGCTTTACATGCTCGAGCTCGTTACAGCAGGATGGATTCTGATTGGCTGGCAATGTTTTTATCGTTCATCAGCTGGAATAAAAACTATATCGTTTCTCTGTGCTGTTATCGTTATAGCTGTGGTGTGAACTCTCCTAATCTTTAATATTGAGAACGATTTTTACACCACACACACACACACACACACACACACACACACACACACACACACACACACACACACACACACACACACACACAGATTCCTCCATCAACACCTGTTGCCTTCAGTGCAGTGTGTGTGCAGGCCAGCGGGGGGAGTGGGACACACACACACACACACACACACACACACACACACACACTGATTCCTCCATCACCCGCTGCCTCCAGTGCAGTGTGTGTGCAGGCCAGCGGGGGGAGTGGGACACACACGCACACACACACACGCACGAACGCACGCACACAGATTCCTCCATCACCCGCTGCCTCCTTGCAATGTGTTTGCAGGGCAGCGGGGGGAGTGGGACACACACACACACACACACACACACACACACACACACGTCTGGTTTACTTATCTTTGTGAGGAATCTCCATAGACGTAATGGTTTTTATACTGTACAAACTGTATATTCTGTCCCCTTACACTAACCCTACCCCTAAACCCATCACAGGAAACATTCTGTATTGTTTTTACATTCTGGAAACATTCTGGAAACATAAATGTATTTAGTGATATGATAAAATGTTAGCCTGACTTCGTCATACTCATATTCTAGTCAGATGTGAGTCTGATACTGCTCCATAGGGCTTTGATTATGAGGCGTGTCTTAACCGAACCAGGAAAAAAAAAAAACCTTGCACTCAATTGGATAGACCTACAACCAATCAGAGCAACGCATACTTGTCAACAGAACTCAACTGCACGCACGCTGGAAGAAGTAGTAAAATAATGAGTGTTGCTTCTTTTACTTGGTCCTCCATGAGTGCGACCAAAGGAGAAACCACAACGACCACAGGGCTTTCATTGCGTCCCATCTTCCTAGCGACCATCGGAGTCAGCTGATAAATTAAATTTTTGCCGAATCCCGCAGGAAGGACGGCAAACACATCTTTCCGATCGACAAATGCCTTGATTGCAGTTCTCTGTTCGTCTTTTAAAATTAATGCGCTGTCGATTTCTTTTACAACAGACGCGATAGCGGAATCTCTACATCTCAGTTCTCCAGCGGCGGCCATCTCTGAGGGAAACCAGTTCAACCCAAGCGCTCTTTGATAACTCTCTCTCTCTCTCTCTCTCTCTCTCTCTCTCTCTCTCTCTCTCTCTCTCTCTCTCTCTCTCTCTCTCTCTCTCTCTCTCTCTCTCTCTCTCTCTCTCTCTCTCTCTCTCTCAGGTCCAGGGCTTTAACATCGCTGGGAATGACTTCTCGTACGCCAGTGACTGTGCTAGTTTCTTCACTCCTGGTATCTGGATGGGTCTGGTCACGTCTCTGCTCATGGTGCTGGTCCTCACGTACGGCCTGCACATGATCATGCAGCTGCGCACCATGGACCGCTTCGACGACCCCAAGGGTCCCGCCATCTCTGTGCCTCAGACCGAGTGAAGGACCGATTCCTTAGCACTAGGGCTTGCTTTAGGTATACAGTTATAGTTATGCCCAGAACAAAAAAAGAACATTATATGTGTGTAATAAAGAAGAAGAATTTTAGGATCATTGAGATTTTTTCATTGTGACTTTATTGTTACAATTACAGAGTAAAATGTTTAATGGTACTAAAATGGGCTTCTTTTTATGCAAAATACAATTTCCTTGACAAGTTTTGTGAGATTCATTCTTAAGTATTCTTTGAAATCTACCTTATATTTTCTTTTTTTATTTACTTTTCCAGAAAAATAGTATTGAATTTACAGATTGGGGCACCATTAAATGTAAATTGTACACTTTACATAACTTATTTGTGTGAGAGAAATATCTATTAACAGACAGCTTAAGGTTTTTAGTGTGCTGTAAATATGAAATGAAGTATTATTTATCGGTGGTATGCGTGTATGTTTGATTCCAGTGTTTGTTTTTGCATTTCCCCCCTGTAGTTTCCTTCATAGTTCTGTGTCGTGTGTGTGTGTGTTCACAGATGTTTCTGCGTGTTGTTGTGAGAACTGACATATTTTGTGACCAATCTGGGTTTTGATTTAAAGGGAAACATGTTGTGAGCTGTATTTAAATATTAGAAAAAGGCTTACCGGAGACATTCTGACATATTGTTTTTGTTTAAATATCAGCATGATGTATAGTTTAATAATATTATTGTAGTGAATCATTTGCACAAATAGCTCTCATAAATAACATGTTTTATGTTGATGGCACATCTGGTTTATACTTAAAATATCTATTGTCATTTCATGCTGGCACGTTTTGGAGGTGTACACTCTTAAATGTGTGTATTGTGTCCGTGTTAAATAAACTTCATAGAGCAAATGTGCAATAAATTTTGTGTCCGTGTTAAATAAACTTCATAGAGCAAATGTGCAATAAATTTAGCACATTTGCAAAATTTCACATCAACAGACGTATGTTGACTTTGTTTTATTTCGCTTTTATTGAATCTTTTATGTCTTTTTCCATAGTGGTGTGGTATGGAAGTCTGTCAGTGAAGAACAGAAACTCCTTAAACCAAATTGTAAGATGGGCGAGTAGGATAATAGGAGTAAATCAAAGGAACCTAGGAAATATATACACAAATCAGCTGTATCGAAAAGCAAGTGCTGTCTTGAGTGATCGGTCGCATCCCTTAAGGAATGATTTTAAGTTAGTTCCGTCTGGTCGCCGGTTTGCGGCTTTGAGATGGAAAACAAGACGATATAAGAATACGTACTCGGTTACTGTCGTAACCTCGGTTCTCTCTAGAGAGGGAACGAGTATTGCGTAAGTTTAGCTTACGCTACGGGAAAGATTCATCTTCTCGAGATATTGAAGCCAAAAAATTATCCTTAATTTTGTATTCATTGTCAACGCAGTGCAGCAGCTAGCAGACCTAGAGCAGGCAGTCTTGCGTGCTCATTGGCTGCCCTGCGGGCATCTGCTGCAGCCTACCAGTGAGCCCCGTGTGACGTCACGCCCAATGAAGGGCGCCCGCGCCTTCATAGCGTCATAGCCCGCCAGAATGGGCGTGGCTTAGCGTATAATGGGAAGGGGCTGTAGGCTGAATTCCCTGGTTTTCGTCGACTGAAGCGAAGTCGCTCGTGGCGCGAGCACGGCCGGTTACGCAATACTCGTTCCCTCTCTAGAGAGAACCGAGGTTCCGTTAGTAACCGAGTACGTTCTCTTACGAGAGGTTCTCTCGTATTGCGTAAGTTTAGCTTCCGCTACGGGAACTTTTTGTCAACGCCGTGCGCGCCAAGCAACCACCCATGAGTCGCCGAGGTTTCTCGGGGAACCCAATAAGTGGAAAAAATAAGGTGGCCAGCCACGCGGGCCATCACTCGTACATAAGCACACATAGGGAATACAGAGCAGAGCACTGGTCTGTATAAGCATATAGCACATCCCTACTAGTGCAGCTCAACCAGGAGAGCTGAGTCACGTGAGAGTGGTCTGAGCATGATATATCTGGGCAGAACGCACAACTCGCTTACACTGACAGAAGTTTAGCCTGCAGGGCGGGAACTTCTAGGTTATAGAACCTGACAAAGGTAGACGGGGAGCTCCAGCCCGCCGCTACACATATGTCGTGGATAGAAATCCCGCTGGACCACGCCCACGATGAGGCCATGCCTCTAGTGGAATGAGCCCTGATGCCCAGAGGGCATTGCAGACCTTTTGACGCGTAAGCGGCCGCTATAGCGTCCACTATCCATCTGGACAGAGTCTGTTTCGAGGCAGCGAGACCTTTGGTGCGCCCACCAAACGAAACAAACAGCTGCTCCGTGCGCCTGAAAGAGGCGGAGCGCGTAGTGTAAAACCTCAGCGCCCTGACCGGGCAAAGGAGATTCACATCTGTCTCACTGTCTGACGCTGGCAGAGGCGACAGTGAAATGACTTGCGCTCTGAAAGGAGTGCCCATCACTTTTGGAACATAGCCATGTCTAGGTTTGTGGATGACTTTAGAGTCATTCGGCCCGAACTCAAGACACGTCGCGCTGATTGACAGCGCGTGCAGTCCCCCACACGTTTGACTGATGATAGCGCGGTCAGAAAAACGGTTTTTAGGTATTTTAACTTTTTAGTTAAAGTGGCTCAAATGGGAAGGCTTTCAGGGCCTCGAGGACCAAGGAAAGATCCCACATAGGAACCGACGGGGGGCGCGGCGGATTCATCCTTCTAGCTCCCCTAAGGAAGCGGATGACCAGCTCATGTCCTCCCAGTGACTGGCCGTGCGTCGATTCTGCGAACGCCGCCACGGTCGCCACATAAACTTTGAGCGTGGATGGGGACCTCCCTTTATCCATCAGCTCTTGTAGGAAAGTGAGCAGATGCGCAACCCCGCACGTCCGCGGGTCCAGATCTCTGTCGGTGCACCACTTGGAGAACACCGACCATTTAGACGTGTAGAGCCTTCTCGTGGAAGGAGCTCTAGACTGCGTGATCGTGTTCATCACTCTTTCTGGCAGGGCAACGAGTACCCGTTGATCAACCATGCGTGCAGAGACCAGCGCTCTGGATGGGGATGCCAGATCGAGCCGCGAGCCTGAGAGAGGAGATCTGCCCTCACCGGAATCGGCCACGGAGCTGTATGTGACAGCTGTGCTAGTTCCGGGAACCAATTCTGATTCTCCCAGTGCGGAGCTATGAGAAGCACCGAGTGGCGCGTTTCCCTGATTCTCTTGATCACCTGTGGTAACAGGGAGACCGGAGGGAAAGCATACAGTGGGAGGCTGGGCCAGACCTGGGCTAGCGCGTCCTCGTTCTTCGAAAAGAACATCGGGCAATGAGCGTTGTCTTTTGACGCAAATAGGTCGACTTCCGCTCTGCCGAATAGGCGCCACAGTTTCTGGACTGTTTGGGGGTGCAGGGACCATTCCCCTGGGGGAACGTTGTCCCTGGACAGTTTGTCTGGGCCGTCGTTCAAATGGCCAGGCACATGCGCCGCCCTCAGCGAGCACAGGTGCATCTGGGACCAAATAAGGATGCGTTCTGTCAGATTGCAGAGGTTTCTGGATCTGACACCGCCCTGACGGTTTACATAGGAAACCACAGACATGTTGTCCGAGCGGACGAGAACATGTTGGTTCTGTATGAACGGGAGGAAGCGCTTCAGCGCGTTCTCGACCGCTATCATTTCCAGACAGTTTATGTGAAAACACTTTTCTTGGTCTGACCACTGGCCAAAGGCCGGTCTGCCCTCGAACAGCGCGCCCCAACCCAAGTCGAAATGACTTTCCGATAAGAGATGGTACCCATCATCACTCCCTGCTGGTACCAGTCGGCTACTAACCAGGGCTGCAGAGCCACTATGCAGGTCTGAGTCACTCTGATTTTCTGGCCGCCAGAAACCCAAGCTCTGCGAGACGCGCAAGCATTCAACCAGCGTTGGAGCGGGCACATGCGCAGTAGGCCCAGCTGGAGCACCGCTGCCGCTGAAGCCATACAGCCCAGCATCCTTTGAAACGTTTTCAAAGGGAGAAAGCTGCCCTTCTGGAAAGACGCGGCTAGGCGGCGAACACGGCGCGCGCGCTGTGTCGACAAACGAGCCGTCATGGCCACAGAATTCAGTTCTATTCCTAAAAAGGAAATTGACTGACTGGGCATTAATGAGCTCTTGGTCCAGTGGACCGTGAGACCCAAGCTTTCCAGGTGACTGAGAAGCACTGTTCTGTGAGATAACAGCTCCGTCTCTGACTGTGCCAAAATCAGCCAATCGTCCAGATAGTTCATTATTCGCAGCCCCTAAGTTCTCAGGGGGGCGAGCGCCGCGTCCATGCACTTCGTAAATGTACGGGGTGCTAGAGACAGGCCGAACGGCAGGACGGTGTATTGATATACCTGACCGTCGAAGGCGAATCTCAAAAATTGGCTATGATGGGGTAATATCTGAATCTGAAAATAGGCATCCTTCAGATCTAGAGAAATAAACCAGTCCCTCGGGCGAACGTGCGCGAGGATTTTTCTGGTCGTAAGCATTTTGAACGGTCTTTTTGCAAGCACTTTGTTCAAATGTCTCAGATCTAGGATAGGTCTGAAAGCTCCGTCCTTCTTGGGTACGAGAAAATATCGGCTGTAAAAGCCTGACTCGCTCAGAGAAGGCGGTACTTTTTCTATGGCCCCTTTGCACAGCAGTTTTGCTATTTCTGCGTGAAGTAGGTGTGCTACTTCCGCATTCACTATCGTCGCGGTCCGGGCTCGAAAGCGCGGGGGACGGCGAATGAATTGAAGTGTATAGCCCTGCTTTATCGTGCTCAGAACCCATTCTGAAATCCCTGGGATAGTTTCCCACGCAGCTATGTGAGCCGCTAGGGGGCGAATGGCCTCCGGGTTCAGATCGCCGCCATTTGCGGGCTTGTGAAACTGAGCTGGAGCCGAAAGCGCGGCGCGCACGCTCTCGGTTCTGGGCAATGGCTGCTCGCTGAAAGCCGAGACCGTCTGATTTATGTGAGGTGTCCCAATCA